CCATTTTGTCTCATAATACTTACTCCATGCTCAGCCATGTAGATATTCTTTCCCATAAGCCTATTCGATATGACGATATTTCACGATATTTCGATTTAATTTTCATATCGGAAGTCGTATCGATCTCTTAAAAAAAAATCGTGGAATACGATATGCCAAAAAATATCGCGATATTCTTTTGTAGTACCGCTTTTGTAAAGTCACCACTTGAGTTCAAATAGAGCCGCTAAAGCGCTCCCATGAAAAACCACAAACCACAAATTCATTGTTACCACAGTATACCGCAAGGTCTTACCTAATAAGGGGCGGAACCAACTGACTAACGTACGTCACGTGTATTGGATTTTGCGTCTTTTTCGTGGCAGTACAAACAACACAATCCAGACCATCTTTTTAACCAGATTGTTCTCAATTTCGCCCCACGTACCAGGTGAAAATGTAATCACGTGCGTCTAAGCTAGCTGAAGGGAAACAAGTCTCTGACATTTCGCAAAGAAATTAGGTGCCCTGTTTTGACGGAAATGTTTCATATGTATAGAACACTGCTTATTCTTAAAACGATTCGATTGGGGTGATTTTTTAGACATGTTTTTCCGTAATGAAGTTCGTAAGTTCAGCAAGGTAGAACAGAGGCAAAGACAAAATTTTGTAAAATAATCACCGTGGATACCGCACAGGTACTATTAGTTTCCCACATATGGTACACTGTGTATATGCTGGATTGAAAAGTTACAGTGGACAAAATAAAAACACAGTTTGTTCTTGTGATATTGTCGGGATTTATTGTAGAGTGTGGCCTAGTGTTTCGAGCTTGTGACTCATGATCAGAGGTCAGGGGTTCGAATCCTGAGGGATGGCAAAAACTGTGAGCAAAACGCAGAGCCAACGGCCAGTGCTGGGTCGGCATGGCACAGGTAGTGACCATTAAATATTAATGCCATTTTGACAGTTAGTGTACCTGAAAATAAGCCCTACTGGTCGCTAGCCAAATGCTTGCCTACTGCAATGGTGGCCGATTATTTGGTAATCGGATGGTCACGTGGTACTTCGACGTCATACAATCAGTCCCTCTTGTACTTTATCCGATTTCTTTGTAACTTTTCATTACCTTTATTGTAATATAAAACAGGTTTTGCCATTTAAATTTGATTTTTGGTAAAATTGCTTGTGCCATAAGGCCCCCATTACACAGGGCTGCGACCTTTGTACCACATGTGAGCGACCAAAAAATCCCAAGGACGCTCAATGGTCGCCTAAACCCAGAAAATCCTGTTTCTATGTAACTGCTCCTTGTGTGCCTCCTTTGAACTACCAAAACTGCAATTTTCAGGCATTTCCATGTCGAGCTACGAGCAACCTGTGCGGTCCACTGAGCCACTTGCCTGCCTCCCTGTGCTTCCCCTGTGTATCCCCGGCAACCAACGCGATTATAGGCAACATAGGCGACCCCCGAGCAATGTTTGAGCAACCATTGAGCCTCCCAGGGCTGTGCCTCCTCTGTGCCATCATTGGCGACCAACGGCAACTAACGGCTATCATTGGCTGACCATTCGGCCATGCTTCTGCCTCCTAGGCGACCCGATCCTTGGGGCACAAGGGAGGCAGAAGATTGATGGTAAAATTTGCAACAGAACAGATGTATTACGTGGCGACCATTTGCCGTCCATTGTGCATCCATTCTGCAACCATGGCAATGCTTGTGCCTCCCGTCTGCCTCATTTGAGCCACCTTTGAGCAACCAACCTCCTTGGCGACCATTGTGCGACTGTTTTGAACATATCTAAAAAAAAAAAATTACGGCGACCATGGCGTCCATGGCGATGTCTGAACATCCTGTGTACCACCTTTGAACAACCTAGGCAACCATTCGGCCTCCTTTGAGCCTCCAACGGCGACCTGGCCAGTTTTATGGTCGCACAAGGGAGGCCCAAAGGTCGCATGCCCTGTGTGTAGGGGGTCTAAGCAACATGTCATATTAATTACGTATTAAGTTATCTGGTGAATATTTATTGACTTGGACTTAAAGGAAAAGTGAAAACGTGTGCGCAAGTTGTGCCACATTACATTAGCCTCCGCACGTGATCAACTTGTACATCTGCAACAATTTGGAGGTCCATAAAATCCGACCAATGAAAAGCCAAGCACAAGCAATCCAGGAACTGTTCATTTTTGGACATGTGGTTGTGTTTTGGGGCAATGGAGACCCAGGGGGATTATGGGTAGAGATATCAGGGGAGGAATCAGAATTGTGGGTAATTCTTGTATCCTGGGTTCCTACTCAAGCTGTTGAAAGAGCTGCCATCAGGGTACCAATGATATGACCTTGGAATCAGAACGATTGTTTACATACAGAAAGGAACATGATATATATGGTATCCTGTTTGTCTCAGGCCTAACTGTTTACGTCCTTGGGGCCAGTCTAAAGGCCTTTTCACACTTTGGTCTCACCTTCGTTCTTACTCCTCCATGCCTACATGTACCCTTGTTGCAAAAGCCTTTTCACACTAGAGCCTCTCACCCCGGGTTGAACCCAGTGCTGCCAAGGGTTGAGTTTTTTATGTTTCAACCCCGCGTTCAACTTTGCATCGTTTGACACTCGTTTCGTCCACACCGAGCTTATTTTGCTTGGTTACGACTGTTTTGAAGTTTGAACCCATGCGAGAGTATCGACCCATGTTGAAAATCACAACCCTGGTCCGGAGCAGGGTTGAGTTCAACCCGGGGCGAAATCAATCTCACTGTTGACGCAGGGTTGGCGCACGGTTGAACATTTTCAAGTGTGAAACGCTGCATGTTTTCAACCCTGCGTCAACCCCGCACCAACCCCAAGATTTGTCTAGAGTGAAAAGCCCTGAATCTCATTGAACATGGGTCGCTACATGTATGTGTACTAGTATTCACACTTACACCGGTGAATACAGGGGTCAGCTGTAGATGTTGGACGTTCTACCCGGGTAGAGCCTCTCAATCCTGGTCCTTACCAGGGTTGGATTCTACCTATGTAGAGAGCTGGACCTGTGTAGAAGCCATGTTTGATTCTTGCTAGTGTGAAAGCGGTAAAACAATCTCTGTGTTAAGCCTGGCTGTAAGTTAACACAGAGATTTGGCCCTCAGCTTCAATGAATTTTCTACTTCATTGGAAAAATTCTTGAACATTCACAGTTTATTAAACAAAAGCAATCAGAGGTCTTTCTTGATCTATTTTTGTGTGTGCAAAATAACAATCATTCGTGAATACAGATGTGGTAATTATGTGTGGTGTCGTGCCTGCAGTTGAACTTATGTACAAACTTTCTAGGATTACTTCAATTTAACCTACAAAATTGTAGTTATAGACCATTATCATGTTGCGGCCATCTTGATTTTTTCCCATTCAAATCAACGTAACCAAAGCGAGGCTGGAAGAAATAATAGTCTGGTTCCCTTTTGCACAAAAAAGTTATCATTCAGTACTGTTATTGGATACAGGGAACATGACTGAAATGGTTGCAGCATGATAAAAGTCTGCTAAAAAAAGCAGAGGGCCTTCTATTTCAATCAAGCAAAATCTTCCTCAAAGGCAACTTGTACAATGTTAAAAAGGATAAAGGTTTGAAATGTGCGTATATTTTTTAAAAATTATTTTATGGTATGAAACTTTTTTTGTCACTTGTACAAACTAAGAGGATTGTGATAAATTGTTAAGCTTGTACATGTTCGCAGAATGGCTTGAGTACTTGCTTTGTGATCCCAGGAGATATGAATGATTAAGATCCTGATGGCCTTGGTGGATAATGGAATCTGCAGTGCAGATAGCAATGAAGAGGATGCAGACAGGAGATAAATAGAGAGAGAAAAGATGGGAGAGTTGAACGGCAGACACGATCTTACTTAGCATTTAAAGGGAACTTTCGTCTGGAATACACCGGATAGGGCTGTGAAACGCATTTCCAATGAAATGAAACGGTTTGAAAGATTGTTCTAAATGTAGAATATAAATGTTCACCCAGCTACGCCTTGAAAATTTGTAGCTTTCATTTCATCATCACGCTAAGGTATTTCTGGGTACAGAATTGTGGTTTTTGGGCTCGTTGTCACGCTTGTTGTATTCTAGCCACACATGGTTATTTTCAAAATGTAAACAAGAAACACATGTGGGCTAGAATTGCCATGTGTTTAATTTTGAAACTTAAGAGCGGGTCCTAATATTTCACAATGAAATGTCAGCCAAGCTTCTGATGAAAGTGCACTTTAATGACCTGAACTACAGACGACTTGAGATCTGCCAATCACATTTAAGGCACATTATTGAACTATACTGCTGGTCAGTAGTTGCTTCAGTGGTACATGTTGCTCTCAGATTTTTCTTAGTGTTTCTTTTTTGTTATGAGGGATTTTCAACAATTTAATATTTAAGGGTCATTCTATACATTTGAGGTCCAAAAGTGTGAGATTTTGGTGTCCCTATATCAACTATTGAGTTGTGTGCAAAAAGGCCATTGTATTGTATAATTAAAGTGAAGACAGTTTTACTTTGCTGTTTATGGGTCATTCTATAAATTTGGGGTCCAATTTTTTTTGGGGTGTCCCTGTTACATCTGACATAAGATTTTGCAAATTCAGAAAACGTTCTTTAATGTCTTCTACCGGGTACCTCCAAGAGTGATTATGTAATGCCAAGTACCTGCTAGTAATGTACTGCTTTTTAAGCCCCAAGATTACCGGTAGGATCAGTGCTGATGACTTGTTAAAGTTGTTTTAATTTTCTTTTTTTTAGCTCAAGAGTTTGTGAAAAAAAAGAGTTCAGTGTCACATAAAATTATTGAATTGTAAATACCGGGTACATGTACACATTTATTTTGTGTTACCCCGTGTGGTTGAAATTATTCTTATCAACCTTTTTAGGGAAAATATGCCTAGTCCAATTTAGTCCAAAATTGCATAGAAAAGGCATCTGGAAAGAAAGAATTAGTATTCAGAAATTTGTTCAAGGATTGCAAAACTTCCTTTGTTTATTTCAGATTGGTGTTTGGTACCCTGTATCCAGCCTATGCTTCCTACAAAGCTGTCAAGACAAGAAACGTCAAGGAATATGTGAGTCAATTAAAATTTCGGGCATGTTTACCTCTATGTTACTTGTTGTACCGTAAGTATACAGATCTGTTACATTCAGCAACCTTCTTTTAGTAAGGGGTTATCCATAATTAGGGGGAGTGTGTACACTGTGGCCTAGTGGTTAGGGTTTGTCACTCATGATCAGAGGGTCAGGGGTTCGAATCCAGCTGCTGGCCATATGTTGTGTCCTAGGGCAAGCCACTTCACCTCCACTTGCCTCTCTCTACCCAGGGGTGTAAATGGATATTGGGGTATAAATGGGTATCGGCATTAGCTGGGGTGTAACCTGCCTGCCATGGACTAGCATCCCATCCAGGGGGAGTAGAACTTTTCTCAGTCGTTTCATACTAATGAAACCGGAGATAAACGTCGGTCTGATGGGCCACATTGGCTCGTGACGGACATTACTTTTTTCTTCCATCAGTATTTATCAACATTTTTTAAAAGCGTACAAAACGTGCGCCTGGGGGAGGGGGTTAACAACCCATGGATGCTTTTGAAAATTTGCAAAAATGGCATTCAATATATTTGGTTCAGTACTTCTTGTAATGGGCTTTCAGAAGATGTTTCATTAATAAAACCCTGATACCTCAACTTGGCAATTTCCGGACCAGCTCGCGATTCATGGGTGCAGCCATATTTGTCATTCATCTTTGTGCTACGCTGTACTCGCCCGACAAACATATGCGATGCAGCCCTCTTCATCAGCCACCAATGTCGTAGCGATGAATTGCAAATGCAATGTGAGTACGGCAAGCGTCTCATTACCTAGCTTATCTTCAAGACGGTAATACGTGTAATCCATAATTAAATGCGGCGCCATAAATGAACTGTTTGTTCCAGGATATCTTTGAAATTTAACATTTTTGAAAGCACTCATTCAGGGGAGGGGGAGGGGTCTGCCAAAAAGAGAACGATTTGTACACCTGTGAAATCATTCCGGCTGAAATGATAGCAGTCAAAAGAAAACAATCTTTGAAGGTGTTTTTAAATTCTCACGTGCGTAAGCAACAAAATCCAGTTACGAGATAAAAAAAAATAAAAAATATAATAAAATATTTTTTTTTTCAAAGTTCATTTTTACTTTTCTCAAAATGGTAGCTACTGAGCTAAAACTTCCGCAGGTTAATTGTTATGCACCCTACTGAAGATTTTAAGCAAGTTTGTTGCTTCAATGGAAAAAACTCGCTAAAACAAATATTCTACGTGCCTTGAATGCGCATCTGTTAAGACATGACCATCCTGAAACCATGGAGTAACTGACCTTTAAAAAGACCTCAACCCCAAAAATGAGTGAGCTGGCTGTATCCAGTCTGAAAGGCGTGTGCCCAACCCGCAGGACATGTGTGATGGCATGGTCAGTTAGTCATGAGCCATTCTGAGCACGGATGTGGAAGAGGTCATTGGCACAGTGCTAACACCGTAATGAGACTTCATCAAGGCATTGTATGCTAAGGACTGATTAGTGCAATGTGCATGTGATGCATCAGCAAGATGGATGAGTTGCTGGGTGATTTCTTGAGTTAAAACAGTAACAGCTTCTGGGGTATCCATAAAACCGGTACATACCTACAAAAAGATATGAAAACATAAACTTTTACAGAGACAGAGCTCCACTCATAGACTCTTGAACAAAGAATTGTGGACAGTCATGTTGCACACTAATACAGATATTAAGTTTTGGTTAAGACTTGCAAATGATTTTCTAGCTGAAATTTAGTACAACTGATGCATAGATGAACATCTACTCCTATTTTGCACTTTTATCCCGATGTTCCTTCAGCATTGTGTTACTGTTTTGCCCCATACATGTAATCACATTTTCGTGACTTTAATGTTTATTTTCTTTAACCCTAACTCCCTACTGTCTTTTATACTAAGTACTGGACCAAGTCCGCCAAAATCCATCAATCACACTGCTTCCAATGCATGCTTTGCTTTAGGCCTCCAGGCCCAATTCTATCATATTCCATCAGTATAAAGTCAATTAAACCAGGCCTGCAGGACCAAGTCCCCCCCAAATCCACCAAAATGGAGGGGGGGGGGGGTGGATTTTGATGGAGTTGGGGAGGTTTGGGTTAATTCCTCAAAATTTGTTCTATTATTCAGTGTACGTATACATACATTTCTGTATTACTGTCTTTGTACACTTTCCTTATTACATGTACCGGTACATGTTTACAACAGGCCAAAAAAACAAAAGTTGTTTTAAATTTCCTCATCCAACATTGTCCCAGTTAGTACTGTACATGTACATTGTACGTTGTATGGTGATGCACATATAGTCCAAGATTTCTACATCATGTGACTTTCTCTTCATCATCATATCAATTGGTATTCCTGGATCTGTCTGTGGTCAGAGATCAGACAACGCCAGCAGCTGTCATCAGCATACTGCCAACAGTATACCTCTCAATGCCTGAATATCATTAGTCAAACGTCTCCACGCTTACCTGTCGAGCAGAGATTTGTTAATTTTTTATTGGGCCACAAAGAAGTTTTATTTAATTCAAGGCACATTTCACTGTTTAACTTCCTGCAAGCTTCAAAACTCTTAACAAATCTCTGTGTACAAAATTATGTTTTCAGTGGTTCGAGTTTTTGAAAATTTATTTGGGTTTTCAAAATAAAATAAAATTGAGACTGCAAAGTATTTATGGTCCTTAGAATTTAACAGAAAGTACATTTCTGTCTGGGAGTACATGTAGGCCTATATACCGTAAATACCGGTAGGTAACATAAGCAACAGTATTACTGGCAGATGTATGGTATAGCAACAATGCGATGCGACATATGTATACAGAGTTTTGTATTTTAATTATTATTAGTATTAATCATTTTTGGTAATGAAACCAAGGATTCCTCAAAAGTGCCTTAGGCACTACAGCTTACAAGCCTAGATACATGTACCTGCAGAGAGAAGACAGTGAGAAGAAATTACAGTTTTAGAGGTGGGACGAAAACCCCACAATGATATTCTAGGAACAAAACCACGGAATCAGGCAGGGACTGAAAACCCAATCCACATGTTGGCCCATGCGGGATTCGAACCTGGGTAACACTAACAGCGGTGGAAGGCGAGGAAAGTACCACTACGCCAACCTGACTCCCCTTTCACACTAGATCCAAAATCTCTGTGTTCAACTGGGTACAATACAAAGATTTTGGGAGCAACTCCTTTCACACTTGCGAGAATCCAACGTGTATTCTACACGGGTTCAGTGCTCTTCACAGGTAAAATCCTTCCCTGGTCAGGACCAGGGTTGAGCTGCTCTACCCGGGTGGAAAGTCCAAAATCTACAGCTGACCCTAGAACACAGCTGTATACAAAAAGTGGGAATGGTACACCTTGCTTAAAGGGGCACTAGGTCCTGAAATCCCCGAAAATGTTATGTTTTGGATTGTTTACTTAGCCTATTTCAAACATCTGGTTGAAAGGAAACCAACCTTATGTCTTACCGTTCCCGAGAAAAGACGAAAAAAAACTGCTTGTTTACATCGGACATAAAGGAGTGCGAAAACGTTTTTTGTGTCGTTCTCATGTACGCTATACACGTTGTGTGTCTCGGGAACAGCGCGCGGTGACCAATCACCAATGCAAAAAATTGTGGTTTCTTCAACGTCCGCAAAAGGCGAACACTTTACGCGTACGAATGAAATCACAACTAGCATCCAAACAGCTCGAATTTATGGGGTCGCAAAAGTGGACCCCGAAATTCGTTCTCGCACGCATAATACAGGAATAACACAAAAACGCCCAGTTTTGAAAGGATAGTTGTGTGGATGTTTATATCCTACTTTTAAAAGTTATTTCCGATTATCATCATCTCGTTCAAAGCGCGTTTTGTAGCCCAAATGGGCTGTTCCAGGACCTACCGGTAGTGTCCCTTTAATGTTTGATGGGACCCGGTTTTGCTTATGGCAAACCCATGTTGTTTTCGCATGAGTAGGTGAGACGATCACGTGAAAAGGCCTTTAGTTTGAAACTGAAGTCATTCATGTAATTGATTAACAAAAAATATTCCAACGTTTTCTGCCTGTAGCAATTCCATGCTTTCAAAACTCATATGCATTTCAATATTAGTAACCCTGAGTTTGGATCACAAATTTAATACAGATGTTCATGAAGAACTACGGTGTACAGTCATGACAGTGTGCGTGCCTCTAAACTGAAACTTAACCCTAATTAGATCCCTGGGGATCTTGGCATTCAATCTCAACATGTGCCGAACTGTAACAACAAAAACTTATACACATGATGTGGCATGTGATTGAAAGTGAAAACTCCGACGGAGTCCAGAAAGTACAGAGATTAATAAGCGTACATGTTCATATGTTTATATTTAAAACATTATTTATTTATGTATCGTTTTATTTTACCAGGGTAGCCCCATCAGTTATCTAAGAACTGGTCTCAGAAAAATCAGTTTGCATACAGTGTATGTACGTGTACATGAGCCTGATTTGAACTGACGTGTGTAACTTTTTTATGAGCGAATGCATGTAATGTACTGTAATGTATGAAACATGCATGTACCAGTACCAGTATACAAAATGGTATGCATAATTTGTATTTATCGTGTACATAATACATGTGATCGTGCCATGAGTGTCATGGAATAAGATTTGCATTTATCTCCCTACCACTTTGTTTTATAATCCCTTCATAAACATTTTATGAAGTTTGTACAAAGATGGGAAAGTGCACACATTTAGCTGTTGGCATGACCTCGAGTTGTAGATAAAAGCTTGCTTGTGCCGTACCTTTGCATAAAACAAGCAGGGACATGAATAGGAACAACTGTTTGGAAAGTTCTGCAATTTTGTCATCTGTTTTACTATTTTGTCGTCAGCAGTGACCTTTTGAGGAAATGGTTTCACACGAACACTTTGCTGACCAGTGGGTGTGGAATTAATTAGTTGCCTTTCCTGCAAATTGTGGTGCATGTTTACGTATCTTACCAAGCCCAACTCTTTAGTCAAACTTCACCAGCAAATTAAATTAAATCTGTTTTTTTTTGGGGGGGGGGAAGGAAAATTACATTCAATGCATTTGTAAGCAAAGCATTTGTAAGCAAAGCGTCCGGGATATAGACAAATTGTCCATAATCCTCACACAAACAGATGCTTGAGGATTAAGTCTGATTATGAGGGCTTTAGACTTAAAACCAAGTTAACGTTTATAAGATGGATTTTTTTTGCATCGGGGTGATGTAAATCAAATTAGGTTTTGCCCTTCACCGACGTACAAACACTGTATACTCAGTGTGTTAACTCCCAAGTGAAAGTTGGAAAAATCACTTGGGCGGGACTCGAACCCACGACCTCCTGCGTTGGCTGGTTCCAATCTGATGTGCATAGCAGCGGGTAACGCATTAACCGATCCCGTGAGCTCGGTGGTCGAGTGGTAAGACATCTGCACTAGAAATCAGGAGGTCGTGGGTTCAAGTCCCACCCGAGTGATTTTTCCAACTTTCACTGAGTAACACACTGAGTATACAGTGTTTGTATGTCAGTGAAGGGCAAAACCTAATTCAAGTTAACCCTAACTCCCTAGGGGGTGTGGAAAATTGTATTGAAATTGGAGGATTCAGGACTGTTTTTACCATGCAATTATTTTGTTTTAAAGTCAGTGCCAATTGCATACTTTTACATGTACATCAGCACAGCTGAATTATACACATATGAAAAGAATATGATAATAAAAAGCTATTTGTTGTCTTTCAGTTTTGCTTTGTGGAATTTGGAAAAAAAATCTGACTGACACAGACAGTGAAGACAATAGTTTTTAATACAAGTATACCGTTACTTGTTCCATAAATTTGGGGACTACCGGTACACACACCTAATGAGTGAAAGTTGTTGTGGGGATCATAGATGCAGTGGAGACAGTAGAAAATCCCCGGTCCGACCGTCCGAACCCGCTCCTAACTTCCCTTACAATAACAAACTTCCCCACAACGCGGTCACCACTGATGCATTCATTGATGCATTTGGTATTAAAACAGTTAAAAGAACTTGTTTCTAGAAACAGAATGACTGCCTCAAAGCCTATGTTTGAAAGGTGTACAAATACGTTTATGGTTTGATTGTTGATTGGTTACAGGAAACTGGGTTGTAGACATGTTTTTGACAACCAGACCGACATCCTTCCTGTGTGATGACGATGGATTTTGCTCCGGTTCCAATGACATTTTCATTCCTAGAATAATGCAATTCTGTATTCCAACTACGTACGTGTGTGCACATCAAGAAGTGACAATATTTCCTTTCGGGATAAACGATTTGCGGTATCTGTCCAAAACTATTGCAACCTATCATGCACCATCAAAATTAAAGAAATTGTCTCGTTTTGAAACTGTAAGCACAAAATTTCAAAAAAGTTTTGACAACAAAGGATTTACAAGTATTTTGTTTACCCAACTTTTGTGCAAACAAAATTTTTCAATGTCTGTTTGATTGCATGAAATATTACAGAATGCAGACATGTACATTTATTTGCTGCGTTTTAATATCCCAAGGCAAAAAACATTGAATCTTGTATGACATGCACATGTGCAGTTGGAATACTGATTTGGCTTATTGACTTTAGTCTCTCCTATGTTTAATGACAACATTTTCTATCTGAGCTTTTGTAGAAAGAATATCTAGGCCTTTGTTTTCTACAATTCCCATTAACTGTTGCTGAGATAGTATCAGAGATACACACTCAGTCATGCTGGGTCATACAATACTGGTAATCATATTATTTCAGGTCTATACATACATGTACATGTATACAGGATTTGCTTTTGCTGTAGTTTTCAGAAAAGAATGGATTTCGGGGGTTAGTATTTTATAGCAAATATTGTTCCACTGACCTGTTTAAAGTTTTGTGCTTGTCTGCTTTCCTGACCCTACCTCAGACGAAACGGAGCAATTTATAGGAGTCGGGGAATTGTCAGGTCAGGGAAGTACACTAGCTTGTTCACTGATGTGTACACGATTGCAACAAAATGTGGACTTACCGTACTAAATGTGGTAAATTGGAGGTAGTATTTGAAAAAAAAAGTCTGTTTTTTTCCCCCAATGATGGTCGGCCAACCATCGCTGGAAATTGATACAAAAATTCCACTTTTCTTGAAAGTGACAGCACACCAGGTGCCATGATTTCACAGGATGCTTGAGACTATTATTCAGTTACAGTCAAGTAAAGTATTTCATAATAATTTGGTAGTTTTGTTGTTTGATATTTGCTAATATAGTCTATTACCTTTAAAGTGAGATGTGCTTATTGTTTTGTGTTTTTTTTCTCTGCAGGTGAAATGGATGATGTATTGGATAGTTTTTGCATTGTTCACGTTTGTGGAAACGGTAGCCGACATCTTCGCCTCAATGTAAGTACGCCTACATAACAGGAAAAGGGAAGCTTGTCATGTCATCTCTAAAATTACAGACACGCACGCATGTAAACAGTGCAGATGTATCATAACAATAACAGTAAGAGGCCTTGATCGGAGACCAATGATTTATTAGGAATGTAAATTATAAATATATTCACCAAATATCAGAAGAGCAATTGTAATTTGTTTGGTCAGCGCTTGACGTATAGACCAGTGCAGGCATGCTTTATCACGAAAGGCCCCCCGACCGCGTTCCCCATGGGTACAATCTTGCTGCGCCATGTTGGTTCCCATCATGCCTTGAGCGATCTTAACCCCTGGCATTGTGTAATTTAAATTTGCCACTATTTGGCACATTTAAATAAGGACTGCAGAAGATGGTTATAACGCGTGACGCAGTGCTTTAAATTTTGAAAGTTTTTTTGGTAGAATTAATCCTTTCAAACATGAGATTTTGGCGTTGCGTTATAGAGCAAGGAGTTACATTTGATGTACGTACATATATCTCTGTCGTCCCTTTACAACATCAGAAACAATTTTATTTTTGTCAAAAAAAATTAGGCTTCCAGAATCTGTATTGTACCGACATTGCGCAGTCTTGAAAAAATATGTGCGTACTTGACGTGACGTGCGAAAATATCACGAGCGCATATAGGGCGTGCAGTCTTCGAAATACGCGCGCAGTATGCTCTGAATAGCCAAGCAGCATCGTTTACGTATTCTACACGGCCAGGGTTAGTGAAGGAACGCGCGGATAACCCATGGAGTCGAGGCTGGAAGCCCCCCTCAATGGCGAAAGCATTGTACTAGCTATTGTGCAGATAATCTGTCATGTGCCATTGACGGGGGCCTCGTGAGTGTACAGTTATCACTTGCATGGATTCATCTATTACAGCACAAGTTTTAGAAATGTGACATACATTGTAATTGCGAACCGATATCCAAATCAAAAGATACTGTTCATGAAATAAACTGTATCAATATTTATCCGGAAAACAAAATGCAACAGTTTATAGACCTGTTATAACACAGAAGTCTTTAAAAGCAATCATCTTTCGGGAGGGGAAAAGGAGGGAGGGTTTAAAAAAAAAAAAGCGGAAAGAGCTGATGATCAGTTGAGGAAATTCCTGATGGAGTACCGTCCCTACGTCCTTCCTAAATCGTAATCCCGTTAAGCCAACTTGGCAGCGCACACCCCTGCGCTTGTAGTTGACTTTGTAAACACTGAACTGTCGGGGTTCATATGTGTGGAGCTAGCCACGGCAGCTGTTTGCCTTGATGTGTGCTGTTCTAACATTTATGTTTGAAGTGCTGAGTCAGGCATAGGAAGATAAATACATTCACTCACAGCACCTTTAAAAGGTAGAGTAGATCATTTGCAGCTATCCAAAAAGTAACTGACCAAATTATTGTTGAAATGCTTACTTGGTTTAAAGATAGTAATGGCACTAACTCCCTGTGAAATTGTTCTTTCTGGCATGCTGTCATTTTTAAGAAAACAATGAATAGAAGGCCATTTCCAAAGATGTGTCAAGTGACGCATTTTTGGAAATTTTCGTTAGCAGTTGGTTTGTAATTCGGCAAATCCATTGAATGGGTGCGCGCAAGCATTGACACGAGGCACACGTTCTCGCGGAGTCGTGGCTGCTATTATCGTCGATTCAGTGCGTGATATTGCGTAGCTGCAATCGGCTGAATGAGAACGTGTCCCGATGCTGAATTCAGGGGCAGTTCAGAACACGACTCAGCAACTTTTGAATTGAAATCGAGATCCTGGAATATTGGTTTGAGGATTTTTAAAGAATCTCCGTTGAAATCTGAACTCCCTGAGATATTACCGTAAAGTTCAGGCATGCAACTTTTCCTCGGATCAGCTGATTTCCTCGTTTTTCACTTCAGACTTTTGCCATTTACAATTGAAAAACACTGTACAAAGTCCTGTAAATATTGGAATTTCCTCGTTTTTTGGTTAATTCCAAATTGCGTGCCTGAAAGTTGTTACCTCTAGTTTTTAGCTTTTTTTAAAGAACAAAAGAACTTCGTATTTTAAGGGGTGCCATTAGGCAAATACAAGGATAACATACATGTACCCTATGTTGCTTTTGGGCACTCGGCAGTCCCCAAACCGTCTTGTTTATTTCGTGGATTTCCCGTTTTTCCCCAAGTCTCACTCCTGTAATGTAATTGAATTACTCACAGAACACGTCAAACTTTATAGTTTTTGCACGCACAGTGCCCCTAAATATAATTCTGTACTAATCAGCTCATTCGGCTGTATAATCACAGCGATACTCATGTAACCCTGTCACTATTTGTCAGGGCTGTCTTTGAACCTGCCAAGACATTTTTTTCTGAATCAGTCCCTCAATCGCACGCATGTTTTTCCGGTCCTTGATGGAAATAGTCCAGATTCCGAGACGTCCACTGGAGACATTTCACTCGGCCTCCTGAGCAACCGGCCAAGGATGCAACCCATAACGGCATCCCTGGATCTGTGACAGATGTTAAGGCCTACAAAACCCTGTCGCAAAGTAACGACCTGACTCATCATCCATTCATCCTTCACATTTAAGACCTTTCTGCATTTGACCTGCTACTATAATTGTTAGTTTTTGAACTTGGTGCTGTTAAGTTACGGGCGACTCAGCAGTCATGCTGCCGGTAGTAATTTTGCATAAAGTGCATCATACATTATAAATCAGAAAATCCCATTTGAAAAATTTAGTTAGTTTGGAATTGATCGAGTTTATGTATGTTAAACACAGCAGAAGTAGTTTGCTTTTAGTATGCAGCTGTCTGAACAACACCCTCGTTTATATATTTACATGCATTGACTTATAATTGTGAGGCGTTCTGGCCTATGTACAATGCCGTAGTGGAGAACAATTAATGCAAAAATAAAAAACGAACAATTTTTTTTTTGATTTTCAGATTTGATTCCCATGTGTAATCTTTGATATGTCTACTATATACAGACATGCAACTTTTCCTCGGATTCGCTGATTTCCTCGTTTTTCACTCCTCATGAATGCCGGTACAAATTGAAAACATTGTACAAAGTCTTGTGTGGTTTAGAGTTTCCTCTAAAGTTGCATGCCTGTACGTATATGTTAAAGCTATAGTATAACATATGTGGAATACATATATTTTTTAGGAAAAACAATTATCATCTTTCAATTGTACAAGTACAAATCTCGAAACTTCAATAGCCTTTTTCTCAGTATTTTACTTTTTTTGACGTGTCGGTAAACATGGTAAATGCAAACTTTAAACAGCCATAACTTATCAATGGAATGTCTAATTGAAGTGAACCAAACAGTATTGTAAGGGGAATTTTGTTCTCTTTCCTAACACCCGCAAACCCTCATTTCAGCATCTGCCCAGTTCTGTCTCATGTTGTCAGAACGCCTCTCAACTTACCATGAATTCCATGGCCAGAACAGCCACAAAATCTCACGAATGCCTCATTCCATTTAAAATAAATGCATTCCTTTTGAAATGCACGCATACATGTGTATGGAACAGAAAATGCAAGCATGGATTTGCTTTTAACACAAGCTGCAAGTACACGAGAAAATTTGACAAACCTTTTACAAATTTGTCTCTAGGTAAATCACAGAGGTCACACGCTTTGTGTGTCCATTATGCACTAATGGCTTCATATGTGCAGGTTTATGTACAAGCCCTAACCGTACTGCAGTATTACACAGAGTGATTATGGTATAAATCGTTGAACGATTTATGCCGTCATAAGATTTCTTTTGTGAAATGTGATAATCGTACAAGGACATGCGCATTGTTTACTTTAGTATGCATGTAATTATTGATTTTTACAGTGGAATTTTTATATTGATGAAATTACATGTATATTTACTTATTTAATTTTGCAAATATTCAGTTGGGGGGGGGGGTGAAAGGGATAAAGCCAGGGGAATTGAAATATTAACTAACTCCTTAGGCCTTTTTGTTAGGACGTAGCCTCAATCCTGCAAAATCCTCCGATTGGCCTCATGGAATAATAGCATTGCCTCAATCCTTCAAATTCCTCCATTATTTCTTGAATATGATCCATGGAGGGGTGACCACCGCAAAATCCTGCGGCAGTGACTGTCAATATGACGAGGCTTGGCTATAACATCCTGGAGCAGTGTGGAGGATTTCAAGTATAATCTGGGCCTATATTTATGTATGGCTGAGCAAAAACAACACAAGGTCCGGCCCAAGACCTTGACAAATTGCATCCTACGAAATCAGTAACGCACTTTTGCCATATAACCTCAATCCTCCAAATTCCTCCACTTTGGCAAAGGATTTTGAAGGATTCAGGGCGGTTTGGGTTAAAGTATCAATATACATCTACAGGTATTACCAACTTGTTTTATATTTCATCAATCGTGTCATCATGTACATTTTGATGTCAATTGAAAATTGCTGAACGTGCCTTTCTTTCAAACAAATTGTATTCAGAATTTACAATAAGCCTAGCCTGTAAAATTGTATATGTATTGGTACATTATGCCTCTAGCTGGCAATAATTGATGGCAATTCATAAAAACACCTGAGACAGTTTACCCATTCCTATTGGTTGAAAGCCCATCACATGGTTGGTTTTAAAATGCAGGTAAAAACACCACTGTGTTCTGCGCCATATCACGCCAATCTCCTGAAGGAGATGTTTACGTACGTGCACGAGTCACGTACCATAGAAATGGCCAGAGAGGTGTTTCACAAGACATGAAGTGAAATTGGTGAACAAAATTATTAGAAACTTGTCCATTCTTGACTGCTTTTGACTTTTGAAACAAAAAGGAATATGAATGGGGATAATAGTGTGCTGGAACAGTTTCAAACGTGATGTTTAAGGCTAGCTAGGGGGCTGGTAGCAGCCCTCACTTTCGGCTCAGGCCTTTATGAGTGACCAGACACCATGCCGGTTAGAAACAACACGTTTAAAACTGTTCAAGCACACTATTCTTCCCCTTATTAATACATCCATCTGGGGACCCTTATTAAGATATCCATCTAGGTATAGTATTTGCTTCAAAATCTGAATTCCGAATGGGACTTCTGTCCATTAAAACCCTAACCCTGCTGAATCCAACAGGATCCAACTATGTCACATACCCGATGGAGTCTGTTGGATTGAGCAGTAAACCCCTTGTGTACCCCTGATGCAAAATGCTGGATTCAGCAGGCAATTAACTGAACCGCATTATAACGCCAAGTTGGACTCCGTTGGATTCAGCAGACAACTGAAAATACTCCGGTTGGACTCTGTTGGAGTTAGCAGGGTAGTCCTGAGGAACTACTAGGGGGTTAGGGTTAAAAAAAAATTGAAAGTTCTAATCCCCATTACTCAGACAACCTTTTTTTTCTTCCTACTTTATCATCAGACTTCCATTTTACTACGAAGCCAAAATCCTCTTCATTTTCTGGCTGATTTCGCCATGGACGAAGGGCTCCACCTACCTCTACAGGAAATTCATTCACCCCACACTAAGCAAGCGAGAACAGGTGAATACTGTAAAGGATGAAGTATTTTTAGAATTATTTGTCTTTATGGCAATTAGCCAAGGCCCCTAGATTATAGTCAAGGGGCCTTGATACATGTAGCTTTACTGTGGTACTGTGCAGACGACAAACCTTGAGATGAAAAGTATGAGTGGGAATATAAGATTTAAACTTTGTGAAGAATATCTACAGGGTGAGTAAAAAAAACAACGAAACTCAAATGTCGGGACCATTGTTTTAGTGAAGTTCTGCATGTAGCACTTTGAAAATCTAGGATATGATAGCCCAATTCATAAACTTTCTTTTAGTGCAGGAATCATTCAAATCACTCATGTATTCTTCAAGTTATGGAGTTTTATACACAACCACCGTTTTAAGGTTCTGTCCACGGATCACAAAAAGTTCAGTGTTCTTTCAGCAAAACGAAAACAAATCACATAAGGATGTGTGTGAATTGTTTTTGTTTTGCTGAAAGAACGCACACCTTTTTTTGTGATCCTTGGACAGAACTTTATAACGGTGGTTGCGTTTAAAACTCGGTAACGTGAAAAGTGCATGAGTGATTTGAATGATTCTTGTACTAAAAGAAAGCTTATGAATTGGGCTTTTATAGCCTAAAGTGCTACATGCAGAACTTCACTAAAACAGTGGTCCCGACATTTGGGTTTCATTTTTTTTTACTCACCCTGTATATATAATGGTTCTTCAGAGATGGTACAATGTACCAGTACATGTACTTGTTTCTCTGCACCAATCGCTTCTTATTTTTCAGTTGTTTAAAAAATGCACTTCTCTATTATTTTGTAGCACTGAGAGATAAAATGACTTCCTATTCCTTTTTCATTGGTAATTTGCTGAACAAAAAACAACAACAAAAAGTTGCAGAATGCAAAAACTTGCACGATTTGAGAAGTTGTTCATTATGCCATCTTGTGAAAAGGACAGTATATTTTTCTGACTAATCGATGTTTCGTGGTGAAATTGTGTCAGTGCATGAGATATTTTGGAAAAATCCCTGAGTAGTAACTAAATCTTCTGCCTGTGGGAGGAATTAATTCTTTTTTATGTTTGTGCATATGAAATGTGCTGGAGGGCTGTAAAATATTTTGATGAATACATGTATTAAAAACTACAGCACATACATGTATGATTAACATACGAGTCCTTGATGTTTGTCGCATCAGATCAGATACTTTCTCAGGAAACGTGCAGAGCAGATTTTGTGACCATATGTTGTTTTCACAGTTATTTTGGGAGAATTACTAAGCGATGACTTTGTACTTGCAACTCAGAAGTGTCCCCACACATTTTTTTAAGTGTCTGAAATGAAGTGGCAGGATCTGTGTTTAGTTAATGAAGCAAAACTGCCAAGGGGACGGGAGTTTTGATTATCAAGTTCCTGGGGAGGGAAGCTTGCATGTAACTTGAATGATGTAATTGACATTGAGACTATAATTAGCTTGAGTTATGAGTAGATCTTAACTCTGGTGCTTTCTTTTCCAGTTATGTAGATAGGTATCCCGGTTGCAAATTTTGTATGCAGGCTAGTAAAGGGAAAAAAATGTTGCAACCTGACGCCACTTTTTTCTTCATATATCATCTCAATGAAGGTCATTCATTGCAAAAATGATAATAAGACATGAATCTGGGACTGAGAAACATTGCCAATTTTATTAGGAAATACTTAGAAAATGTTCTTGACTTTCCATAGACTTCGTACACAATTGCGGAAGTGGCGTCAGGTTGTAACATTTTTTCTCATAAGTCATTTACATGTAAAACATATGTGATTTGAAATACCTTCATATACAGGTAGTTTAGATTCCATGGCTGAAAGCATGGGGTCCCTCTGGTCTGATGCGTTAGGTTTCGTGGTCACAATGCTGCATATTTTTGTGACATGTATATTCCCTAAAAGTGGAAATTCTTTCTTGATCAATGAAGTAGATTGCATTTTCTGATTCATGGTTCTGGACGATTTTTTTAAAGGGAAATACAGTCCGAAAACCATTCCGTTACCAACTGACGTATGTGGTCATTGACTATACTTGGTTGCAGAAAAAAAAATAAGTGCATCCCGGTTGATTCTACTCATGATATGGTATTTTGAACAGTCAATCTTTGTCTGGGTATATCTCTGTGTGGATATTACAATATTTGAATCAAAATGTATATGTTTAACACGGTCGTCTTGTGACCGAAGTTTCAATGTAAACAGAGTTTTGATTTTGTAATTTTTGGCTAATTACTCATCTATCATGTGTGTGTGACTTAAAAAAAAATCTCTGTTGAGATTAAACCTTAGATGTAGATTTGGTGTATATTTCAACTACCTAGGATTGCATTTTGAGATAAATTGTTAGTAAATCAAGGGGTCTTTTCTTTCTTTGTTTTAATTGTTATCCAGGAAATCGACGAGTACATATCACAGGCAAGCAACAAGGGCTATGAAGCACTGAAGAAGGTCAGCAAAGATGGACTGACGATTGCTGCCAATGTTGTCATGACATCAGCGATAAAGGCAAGTACAGGGTGTCCCCCAAAAAGTTGTGCAAGCAGATATCCTTTAATTTCTCAAAAACTACTTAACATGAGTATTTCATCTTGATGGAGCATATTAAGTATAATCAGTGAAAATGCCATGGAAATCAGTTCATGCAAACCAGCTATCTAACAGATTATAAAAGGCTATGGGTTTTCACCCATTCCAATGGGATTTACACAGTTAGTGATATCAGTGCATCAGATTGTCATGGGCCTTTTCACTCTGATGTAAATTAAGTTAACTGTGTAAATCCCATCCCATTTGAATGGGTGAAAAACCCATAGCCTTTTATAATCTGTTAGATAGCTGGTTTGCATGAACTGATTTCGATGACAATTTTTTACTGCATATACACAAGAGTATAATTAATATGCTCAATCAAGATGAAATACTCATGTTAAGTAGTTTGTGAGAAATGAAAGGATATCTGCTTGCACAACTTTATCTGGTACACCCTGTGTATGTTTTCTCTCTTACAGCTATTAGGGACCATTAGAAATGGTATGCATGAGGGATACGTATGCTGTTCAGAAAAAGAAGCATGTTAAAACACCATTTTGTGTGGTTATTTCATCTGGCACATGGGTGTTAAGATGTACATAAGTGGGTTTAGTGAAATATCAACACAAAATGGATATAATAACCAGTTAGATTTTCTGAGCCGCATATGTATCCCATACCCCCACCATTTCTAGTGGTCCCTATCGGATTGCAACGTGGCACATGTCCGCTCAGATTGGGAGGGTGGTGCAGGATTATCTAACTGGGCATCAAATGAGAGTTTCCTCTGCTGTGTGATCATATCGGCAGGAAGGACTTGAAGTCAATCTTTCCAAGAATAAATCTAATAATAATCAACATCCCGCAATGACTGAAAGGGGAAGGGGAATGCTTAGATGTTTCTCTTAAATAGTTGATATCTTTCAAATCCATGTTCCAGGTTTGAATTCCCCAACCAACGTATGTATGAAAATAATGTTTGCCATATGTTACTGCTGACTTTTCGGTAATGTCACGCAAACAGTGTATCCGTGTCTTTAAAGGCAATCTACAACATTTTCTAATTTCAAAAAACAAAACTATTATTATGAAATACCTTACTTGACTGTAAGTGAATAATAGTCTCAAGCATCCTGTGAAAATCGTGGCACCTGATGTGCTGTCATTTTCATGAGAAGTGGAATTTTTTATCAATTTCCAACGATGGTCGCCAAACCATTGTTGGAAAAAAATTGACTTTTTTTCAAATACTGCCCGGAATTTACCAAATTTTATTTAGTCCATATTTTGTTTGCAATCGTTAAACATCCGTGAACGGGTGCAAAACAGCTAGTCTGGTTCCCTGACCTGACAATTCCCCTGACATCTATACATTGCTCTGTTTCATCTGAAGTAGGGTCAGGGAACCAGACTACAAGAACATCATTTTTTTTCTTGGTTTTTCCAGTACATGTATCTATGAACACAAAACTTTAAACAGGTCAGTGTAACAATATTTGCTATAAAATGCTTACCCCCAAATTCATAAATTTCTGAAAATTACAGCAAAAGCAAATGTTGTAATATACCTTTAATGCATGTTGGCCTGGGATATAAAATCAGCAATTGTCTGGAGGTGTACATTTCATTTTCTACACTACAAAAGTGTTTCAAGTCATTTTTATACAACTATGTAAAAGTATTTGGGTTTTTATGAGGAAATTTGCTAAAATTGGATTTGGCCTTGAGACCCATGGAACACTGCACCAGCCAGCACGGTGAGCAATGGTAAAATGCGAACGTTGTTTTCCGGAGGTCACAATTTCAAATTCTACTCTTGTCAATTTCTTTATCCTTACTACTATTGTTTTAAGTTTTACCAAGTCAGTTTCCCTCTATGGCCCTTTCAATAAAGGCTTTAAAAGAAAGTTTGTTTGGCGTGATCCAAGTTGGAGACTTGCTCATTTCCATAATTCACAAAATAATTTCTATTTTCACTACAGGGCCAAACGACCCTGATGGATCAGCTGAAGAACTACAACAAAAACGCAGCCAAGAATGCAATTCCAGAAGAGGATGAGGGCGAGGTGGCGGTTGTGGAAAGAGATGGAGGAGATGGGAGCAAAGAGGGCCAAGACTCAGACGGGGGAAAGGAGAAGGAATACGATCGCCCCCTCAGAGGTACGGCAGCCTGTCTGCAAGGATAATGATGCTTTTCTGACCATTCTAGTTTTGACAGAGCACTGGTTTTTGTTTGAAAGCCTCCATACTAAGGATTTTGGAGGGAAAAATGCTAAAAACAAAAAAGGGGTGATTCGGGGTTGAACCCCAAGGTACCCCCGTAAAACCCATTCGTAAATACTTAAGAAAGTTTACCCATTCATATTGGTCGAGAGCCCATCACGTGGCCAGTCTTAAACAGTTGATAAAACACCGGCTGGCTGGTCTCAAACACTTTTCAGTTGTCACATGAAATTTGGACTCCTATGAAATCTGGTCCATTTTACCCTTTTATTGGTTGAATGTTCACAATCCTCACTAATAGGCATACACATTACTACCAATGAGTCCGTATGTCATAGTCCTAAATTCACACTACACTGGCACCGCTGTGTTCTGCGCCACATTGCACAGTATGCGCCACATCGCGCAGTATGCGCCACATCGCGCAGTATGCGCCACGCACGTGCCAATATCCATATAAGGAGTTGTTTATGACTGTTCGCAAGAGGCGCATACCATAACATAGCTAGACTGGCTCTGGGCCTGGTCGTCGATAATAGCCCAAGCCAAATCAGCATTCACTCTCCTGAACAGACTTGTTTAAAACTGGCCAAGCACATTTGTTCCCTTAATAAAACCTCCTTAACCCTTGAGGTAAATCTTGAGTTTCCGCCAGTTTAATTTCGCATTCTACCCCTTTGTCGATTTTAACGTAAACTTGGCTTCCCCCTGCTGAAACCAACAGACTCAACTGTAGCCAGTTTCCCATGGTAAAAAGAGACTGCATGCATGCAACTGAAATGAGCAGGCTCCAAACTAAGATTGCTTTTGTTAACGTAGGCCGCAGGCTGCAGGTGATATAAGGGTAGGAGTCAATGAAGAATTGAAACAGATGACTTCAGATCAGTAGTGTTCAACAAAGCTTTTTTGTTTCTGTCATTAATTTTCTTCTGGTTTTTAAGGGGTCTCGGGACTTAGTTGACCGAATTAGATTTCCTTCTGTAGCACCGGGTCAGTTCATGAGTCAGACTGCGGCTTGAATTGACTTAGTGAGAACAATGGATATTGTTTCCAATGTACTGTAGGGTGACACAGTATTATGTGGAGCAGTGCAGATGCTGTGAAGCAGGATGCAAAGTGGCTGGCTGTGGTTACTGTCAGCTTAACTGACGTTATCTCAAGCTGCCTTTTGAATGGATACTTTTGGTAGAGAGGTTGCTTTCAGTACCAGAGTCACATTCAAGGATGTGTTTTTGTGTGGTACAGAGAGTGACAGCTTCCTTGTTTTGTGACGTCCATAACTTAATAATCTAGCTTCCCATCTTTTGTTTTCATTATGTACCGAGAGATATGTCTTTTCTCTCAGTGTTACAGTAGAGTTCATAGCATGGAAACTCACAAGTCCTTTCACAAGCCCGATCAAAAGCAAAAGTGGATGAACAGTTGTAAAAAAAATACTTTTGTCAACATTCATGTGAATAGCTAGTCTATTGAACATCCCCTTGCACAGCATGGGTCTATGATATGAGAGCAGATTGGGCGATTAATTATGCAAATTTGACCTCGATATTCTGACCATATACGAGGCTCCTTCTATATCAGGTCTTCAGTAACCCGTTGATGTATTCCAAAAACATGGCAGCCAAATTGACCAATCAATAGCTTAGTCCACATTTCTGATCGAAATGACATTATAGTTTCTAAAGTCGACTCCGATTGGCTGGCGGGCAGAGTCACATAAAATTTGCATGTTTTCGGACATTTGACCGTGACTCTGCGGACGTGAATATCTGATCCTCGGACTAGTGAATAGCATGTAACTTGACTGGGGACTGGATGACTTGTGATGGACTTGTGAGAACTAGTGACAGACTTGACTACAACACTATTTTCACTCCAGCTGAAGTTTAATAACTCAGTCTGTATAGACCATTATCACATTGCAGCCATTAGATTTTTTCCCCATTCAGATCAATGTAACCAAAGCGAGATTGGAAGGAAAAATAGTCTGGTTCCTTTTTGCACAAAAACATTATCATTCAGTACTGTTATTGGATATAGGGAACATGACTAAAATGGTGGAAGCATGATAAAGGTCTATTGTGCGTCCAGTGGTTGCTGACAATTAGAGAGAGATGTGTGAAGAATGGATATGCAGTTTTTAATGATGCCTTACTTCATTGGATGCATCTTAGATTTAGAAGTAGTGTCCAAGAACATCTCTAATGTTTTCCTTCACTTTAAATTAAAGTGCTAGAAAGTAGTGTTTGATCTGTCACGATTTGATTTGTTACATTTTTTTTTCGGTACAAAAATGTAGAGAGATTAGAATCAGACCCGGACATGTCCCCAGACCTGCTGGACAGCCTGCAGAGCCTCGACAACCGCCTCCGAGAAGAAGAGGAAACCATCCGCTACGCGTCACAGATCGGGGAAGTGGAACAGCATTTGGAGGAACACGATTACGAGGAAGAAGAACGAGTCAGACGTCGCCGGAAGAGACCAGAATTCAGCCCCCGACGGCCGACGTCCAGACACTACGACCAACAAACCAGGGAGGAATACGACAATGACGCAAACACCATGTACCTGCCGGAGGACGACCGAGCTTTCCATCGGTCCCCGTCGCTACGTTCGCTGAGAGAGCAGCCTTACATGTCAACGGCAGGCGGGAACGTGCCGCGCTCACACTATGCCTCTGCTGACAATCTGAGCAGAAAACCACCCAGAAAAAGACAGGAGGTGGGTATGCTGGCATGTTCCTCTTAAGACAGCTGCCAAGTAGATCTAATGGTCCAGTCAGTACCACTTAAACTATGGTGATTCTTGCCAGACTAAAGTTGAAATTTGTTTTGCAAAATGTTCCGAGTTTGACAAAGATTCAGTTGGTCAACAAGGAATTATGTCAAATTCTTAGAGTGATAAGTTTTCGTCTTCAACCTGTGGAGAAAAGTAAAAATGTAAGTTGGCAAGAAGCCATCATATGTCCATCACAGTTGGGCAAGAACCCAAATTGTAATTTTTTGCAGTTCTTGTTCTCGTCTGTATATTTTTAAGGGCCTATGTAAAGATTTTTAAATTCCCTTTTATGTTTTCAGCCAGTTACACCGGGTGCAGAGAGGTCTCAGGGGCGATATGCATTGCGGAATACAGGCATCAAAATGACCAGGTACTAAAACAGACTAGGGGCAAACCTCAGAACATGTTGCAATATTTGTACTTCAGCCAAGAAGCCTGGCAGAGCTGTGTATATAATGTATAGACTTTCTCATGAGACTTGACATCGAACCAGTGGAACCTTTGAAGGTACATGCATGATGCAACTTGGACTTCCCAAGTGGCAATTGTAATCCAGTCTGTCAATGTTTGTAGGCTTGACAAAAAGGGAAACGTCTGCTGAAGTTTGGTCATCACACGACCGTAGACATGCCATGCATGCCCCCAGACGTCTTAAATGTTGGACAGGAGCTTAGTGACTCATGCACAGATTGCCTGCCACGTGTTACCTGTTATAATGCAAGCTAAAAATAGAATACTGTCTAGTGATTGATTTAGAAATTCAAAAAAGCTGTCGTGAGGAGGATTTATCATCAAAATTAATTTTAACCTGGAAAACTCATGAACCTCTTCAACTGAGCCCTCTGTGTAAGGATTTGTCTTGTACCACACCCATTGCCCAGATAAGTGTGTGTGGCAAGAAATGGTTGACTTAAACGTGTGAAGATAAAAGCCTTGAACTTTTTGTAACGTATTTCCTCCTTGCTGGTTTCAAGGAGAGATTGTTCATCCCTCAGTTTGTGGATCAGACCCTTGATCTGATCAATTTCTGATGCAGTTAATTTATCACTTCGTTATAAGGAAGATTGTGGACAACTTTTGCACACAGCTTTTTAGTTGGTGCATTTATTGCCTTTACGATTTTGTAGTGACACAGTAAGAAATTAAGTTTTGTTCAGAAGACCGTACATTGTTAACTATATTTACACCTTATTTATTTTCATTTTGTACAGTTGTAAACTAATACGGACAGTAATGGGTAACGTTTTGTACATTGTAGTTACATAAAGTGCATGGGATTTTTTTCAATAAAAATGTTACCAACATTGAGTGGGTTACAAAGATTGAAAAACTCTGCACTCCATTTAGTCTGAAATTTCTATATTTGATATTCTCTACAATTTTATGTGTGTCCAGAAGGATCGGACATATAAATCCCAAAAATCCTTGAGGAAAATTAAAAAAATCTATGATAGGCTTACAATGTGTTGACCAGTGCATGCTCAACTCATCTTAAAGGGAATGTACAACATTTGCTTTTGCTCCAATTTTCAGAAATAAATGAATTTGGAGGATTAGTATGTTATAGCAAATATTGTTAAAATGATTTGTTTCACGTTTGAAGCTTGTAGATGCTGAAAAAACCAAGAAAACCATTTATGTTCTTGTAGTCTGGTTCCCTGACCCCACTTCAGATGAAACGGGGAATTTTATAGACTTTGGGGAATTGTAAGGTCAGAGAATAAGTCTAGCAGGCTTGTACCCCTTCACAGGTGTGTAATCAATTGCAAAGAGGTTTTGCAGTTTTTGCAGCAAAGAGTTTGCAAGCAGTTTTTGAAAAAAGCTGGTTTTCTCCAACGCTGGTCGGCCGACCAGCGTTGGAAAAATGCCATTTTTCTTGAAAATGTCTGCACACCAGGAGCCACGATTTTACAGGATGCTTTAGACTGTCAATCCCTAACAATTCAGTAAGGTATTTTGTGATAATTTGATCATTTCGTTTTGTGATGTTTGCAAATGTTGTATCTTCCCTTTAAGGTATTTTGCACCCAGCATCTATTTAATAATTAAAAAAAAAATTAAAATGTTACATGATCCTTTCATCAGCACAAATGTGTAATTTGTGTTGTTTTCTTCACTTGTTTGGCATAAGAGGTTTTGGCTGGAAATGCCAATAATTGTTTCTATGTGATTAGCAATATGAGTATTTGACATTCTAGTACAATATATTGTAATATTATTTATATCTGTTGAAATATAGATTAATCTGGTCAGAACCATCACTTCTATCACAGAGAACCCCTTCAATGCGATAGCATTGTGCTAGTTATTGCTCCGACAATCTGTAATGGGGCAGTTGCTTTGTACATGTCCAGTAAAGCACATAATGGTTTCTCCATTGAAGGGGGCCCTGTGCCTGTACAGTGATCATGTGCCAGGATTCATCTATGAAAAGTCCTTCCTGATATTTTCTGGTTTTGTTAAGTACCACAAAGTTGAATATTTGTATTTGTGATGCCATCAAGCTAAATGAGTCGTTTGTCTGGAATTTTCGTTTGGAGATTCAGGCCAAAATAGGGCCACTTCATCACATCACTTCATCACATCTCTGGGTGTTCCGACTTCCATAATTTTTTAACTAAAGATGGTATTAGCATGCGGTTTTCACAGCAGTAATGCTGAGATTGTGCTGTTTTCAAATCTGTAAAAAAAAATGACCGGGGTTGACAAATGACTCATTAGCTTGATCGCATCAGATCTTTTCAATAACATTGGTGGAAAGAATGTAGTATCCGGATGCCACTTCTTCGGTTGTGTACCAAGTCTACGGAGAGTCGAGTGCATTTTCAAAGTATTTCCTAACAAAATTGGAAATGTTTCTCAGTCCCAGATTCTTTTTTTTAAACACTTTTTTGCAATGACTGACCTTCATTGAGATGATAGGGTACATGATGAAAAAATGTGGTGTCAGGATGCAACATTCTTTCCATATTGGTAATGGTAAATGTTCATTGCCACATAAACTTCAGGTGAATTTATTAAAAACTTGTATTTTTTTCTCCTCAATAATTTAAACTAGTGCAATTTATTTAACCTGCTCGTTTTTGTCTTCCTTTACACTGCCCTGAAACAGGAAACAGAAGAACTCTAAATCAACAGCAAAAAGTCCCCAAAAAGGGCACACAGGAACCCTTTAAAGTATAAGGTATAAAAACCATTTGGAATACATTTCATTGCTTCCCTGGTGAAGGGGTTGTAGCTAGCAGGAGAGGTGGAAAGGGATAACTAATGAGAATAACAGTAAACTACAAAGTGGCTTACATGCTTCTTTTTATACCTGTCTCAGATTGGCATTCCAGAGTCGCACCAAAGTTTCCGAACCCAAAAGTATCGATAGACAAATGCATTGATTTTCAATTAACTAAAGTCTGGAGTCTTCCAAACAACGGCAACAGTTGATCTTGTAACAACTTTTGAACTGAGTCTTTGGAATAAGTGGAATGTCAATCTGAAATGTGTGTGAGCGTGTGGATAATTCAATTTGGAGGGCTTAAAGGTAGGGTAGATCATTTGTGCATTTTTCTTTTTTTTTGGAAGCAACAAAAGTGTTCAAAATCTAAAGATGGTTGCTAAACAACTAACCTGTTGATGTTTTTGCTAGGTGAACGCTGTGTATTCTGAGAAAACAATATTCTAGGATCTCGATTACAATTCAAAAGTTGCGAGTCATGTTTTGAAGTGTGCCCGAAATCAGCATCCGGGACACGTTCTCATTTGGCCGATTACAGCTATGCGATGCCATGCACTGAACCGATGAATAACGGCAACTGCGCGTTTGTGCGTCCTGTCAATGCTTCCGTGCAACCATTCACGGATTTGCCAAATTACAAACCAACTACTAACAGAAATTTCCAAAAATGCCTCACTTGACGCATCTTTGGAAATAGCCTTCTTTTAATATTTTCTTCAAAATGACAGCATGCCAGAAAGAATAATTTCACAAGGAGTTTATTGCCGTTACTATCTTTAAACTATGTAAGCGTTTCAACAATAATTTGGTCAGTTACTTTTTGGATAGCTGCAAATGATCTACTCTACCTTTGAGTGTTTTACAGATTTCTTCTTATGCCGTGGCTTTGTTTACCATTCTGAATAGCAAAATCATCACCTCTGTGGACTTCCTAATAGTTACATCACCGCAGCAGCTTTATCACTTCATTGGCTTGGTTTTGAAACCTTGATTTATGCACCACTCTCTACCTATTGCCTGTTATGGTGTCTTCTCCTGGGTCTTTTGCCAACTAGACAATCGTTAACGAGGTTAATAACCTCATGATGCCATTTGCAATGATCTGCATCTCCAGACAGATGCCCGCAGCAATGCTTTTACATACATACATACATACATACATACATACATACATACATTAGCTAGCTTGCTACTCTGTGCATTTGCCTCCGAGTCATAAACTGTGTGAAAACAATTGTGTGATAACAATTGCTTACCATATTTACATGTCGCTTGCACATTTGTATTGTGACTGTGCGTGGACTCTTTGGAAAGAACACAAAGCTTGTCAAATTGACATGATCATGTCATTATCTGAGTACCCTCATGTTTTCAGATCGGCAAAATGAGCCCTGGGCAATATGTGTGAAACGCATTGCTCCAGGCAAGCTGCCACACGTTCAGTTACAGTCTTGTGCGACCCAAGGTGCTTGAAACACGGTGTGCAAAGCTCGCAATACTGAACTTCGAAATTCCAAAAAAAGAAGAAAAAAATCACGTCAGACAGACTTGGTTTTCATCATCATCACATATTTTTCCTTCCACTGATTTATCTTGAAGTCAATCTTTGCATAATGGTTTCCAGTTTAGGAATTTCCAGGTACATATCATTTCCTCCAGTAATCCAATCTCTTCCCTTTCCATCAGATATGATTCTTTTTCTTCCTGTCAAATAACTTGCTTTTTCGTCCTGTCATATAACTTGCTTTAAAGTGGTAAAGTGATGATTTCCTTTAATAAAAATTGAAATGATCATTCATGACTTGCCTTTCTGATTCGGAGAGATGTAACTTCATTAAGTTAGTCTATATTCTCACAGACTTTGGTGAGATGAAAATCCATTTTTTTTAAAACTCTTTTAAAACAAGTGTAACACAAGGCACATGGTTACAGTCACATCTGTCTCAATGTGACCGGCGCTAACAAACTTGACCATTAATATCAAATTAAAACAAATACTCCCACAACTTGAGCTTCAAACAGTTCTTCCTCTTAAGGTTGTGTTGTCGTTTTTTTGTGTAACCATCAAGGGTGTGGGTTGATGCTGAGTATTTCAATTCCATTGGTAATAAATTCACTTGCATTTTTTGTCTGGTGGCTTTCATATCATAATCTAATCAGTGCCTTGGTTAAAGGTAATGTATACCATTTGCATTTGTCATAATTTTATGAAATTGACCAACTATAGGACTAGCAGACATCGTTCCATTAATGTGCTCAGTTTTTCTTTTTCTTCAATGGCGCTGGAAAAACATGAAAAAGCGTTGTTTGTTTTCAACCATCAAAGTGCAGCTCGCTGAATCTGTTGTGTATAGAACACATAGGTCACAGGGCTTGATTGAGTGACAGCATGTGTCATGGGGAAAACATATTACAAATGTACATACATGTACCTAGTGTACCAAGCGTACGCACAAAGTCAATAGATGGCACCGCACACTAACGGATGTAGTATTTGAAGCAAAAACTTCCTTTTTTTCTACACAGTGATGGTTTTGACCGAAGCATCAATAGCACTGATACAAAATTCCTCTTTTCTTTAAAAATGACAGCATACCAGGCGCAACGATGTCATAGGATGCTTGATACTATTATTTACCTTCATTCAAGTATATTTCATAATATTTTCCAGTTTCGTTTGTAGCAAATGGTATACATTACTTTGGACATATTCCAGAAAATGCCTGAGAAGTTTGGAAATCATTGCATATTTTTGGCCATGAGAACCGCATTTTACATCAGCCTTTTTCCTGGAGAGAAAGTGCCTTCTGTCATAGTCTGAAAACTCTGTATCTACCTTTATAATATGGCTGTAAATTCTTTCATTTATGGGGAAAAATAATTGTTAAGGTGTGGAAAAAAGTGGCTGAAATCACAATTGTAACATTTTGTTATTCACTTCACTTTCGTGATGACTTCCAATTTTTTGGTCATACATGTAAAATTGTATTTGAAAGCTTTTTTTTTCGTAAAAGGACAGGAAATCTTGGGGCAATTATCTGTGAAATGGCGATACATGCATGAAATTTATTTGAATAATTTGCAAAAATTGATGCCATCCTTTTTCAGCTGTTTATGGCTATTGGACTGCATGGGGGACAAAATGAGCAAGTTTGGAGATTTCAACGGCGCTCTAGAAATTGTGAAAGTTTTTCTTTATTTCCCATTGACATATTTACGTCTGTGTTTGGAAAACAAGATTTTCTGTAATAGTTGTAACAGAGCATTTGCTCGGTGCACCTTCACTGACGTACCATTGGTATCATAGAGGAACCTGCCCTCAGGTGTGGCGACCGGTGCAACGGGTCTGTAGAGTAATAGTTGTGCAAGTGCCAGTGTTGAAATGGTGATATCAACCATCAAAATACACACCTTATAACAAACACAACATTTTAACATAGTTGCACCTTAAGGTTATGTAACTTTCATATGGTGGGATGTATTGATAACTTGATATTTATTTATTTCTGTCTAAAACTTCAAAGCACAAGCCTGCAAAAACACAGAAGTTTGTAAAATAGACAGATCTTCTTAAAAGGTTACACTTTTACAGCTTAACTTTTATCTTGTGGAAGAGTTGCAGTGGACATTTATTCATCCCTCCATAGTTTGTGACATGGTAAATCAATTTGTTGCTTAATGTAGGGAAAATGCATTGGTTTTTTTTCAGATATGAATATCTCACATTAAGTATTTTTTAATGCTTACCTTGGATTTCTTCATTGATTGTACTTAAAATCACACCTGAAAATAAAAAAATATGAGAAACAACGGCTACAGCTTATTTCAGTACAAAATTAGATTTCCGATATTTTGTTGTCAGAAAAGTAATGTTAAGAGATGTGTAATTTCATGTTAATTAAGTGTATGTTGATGTTGGCCTTAATAATTCATTAACGGTTTGGTTTAGTAATTTGTTCAATGCACCAGTTTTGTTTTTTGTGATAATGTTCAAAATACCACTTTGTCGCCCCCAAAAGTGACATTCTGGGCCATGTAAATGACTTCTGTGTGAATAAGCAATGAAAACGGGGAAATACCTAAGGGATTCAGATAATGAAGTACACATTTAATCAAATTCAAATTCGGATCAAATGTCTGCTTTTGTTGAAAGTGTATTGTGTGTATTACTAAGTATTACTACTATACTATGTGGGCATTACCTCAGAATCAGCAACATTCAGCACCCATTAGTGGTTTTGGTAAATTCTTATAGAAATTGTTTCGATATTTGTGCCTTGCAGTCCTACCTTGTAAAAAATTACACACATTTTGGGCATTCAGAACTTAACTGTATATTTGTTTTACTTTTTTGCCTTAAGTTATGTTTTGTAAAAGAAAAAGGCATTCGGAACTTAATGAGATTATTGTACATAAAAGCACACAATGAGAATTCCATTTTGGGAGTAAGATAGAAAATAAGTCCACTTAACACCGTGTTGCCTGGCTTTTGTCTGTAATTATGTGATGTTCGTTTATAGGCTTCTTAAAATTGTTAATACCTCTTTGTTGTTCACTAATGGAAGTAGATGTCAATAAGTGGTAGCGGTTGTGATTTCATATTCGGTGTGTAAGAGAAAACATAATAAGAGAAAGAGAATAATAAGTTTACAATTGAACTGTCTGAATAAAGTCATATTTTGTAAGAAAGAATATTTTGTTTGTGTATGAAGTGTGTGTAATGTGTTCATAGGATAAGGTCTAGTTTTGTTTTAAAATATATTTCACATGGACCTACTTTTGGAAGAAGAACTTTTTTTAAAAACCTCTTTTTGTTCTGTCCAAATCCTTCAGATTTTATATCTCCATTCACAAAGTACACAGCTAGCTGCGCAAGAAAATGGAATAGTCAATGGAATAAAAATGTGCATGAAGTGTGATGCAGTTCCGTGGGGGAAAAAAGTGGGGCACAACACAGTATTTCCAGTCTGTGTGTGAAAGAAAGTAGCATAAATTTGAGCATTCTAATGTCTAACTGCATAAATGAATTATTACCTGCATATTACCTGCATGTTTGGCTTATGTGTCGTCTTGTGGTGCTGGCACTAGCCATCAGTTTAATTCGCTTCTTGGTTTTTATTCCGTACAGAAAGGACAGCCTTATTCGACTCGCAATTGAAAAACGGCGCCAAGAATCCTCCGTTATAAAAATTTTCTGCCAAAGACTTCGAAACGCAGCGTCATTGGCTAGAAGTGTCAACCGAAAAATGCCTTGTCCAATCACTGACCCGAACAGCGCCCTCAATTGACCAAACGAAATGAGACTACAGTAGCTTTTTGAAGCCTCGGTTTTGTCTCCAATATCGGTTCAAGAAAATGTTAAGCCCCTACGTAAATACTCGTGGAGTGTAGCCCGTGTTCTGCCCTGGTACATCAAATCTTAAAATGCTTAAATTACAGACTGTTTATAGTTGGTTTGGACGAAAAGGCTTTTAAACGAATTTGACGCCAAAGATGAATTGAACAGGGACGAATCCGTGGTTTCGAAAACAGCTGATGTGCCGGGAGCTCACGAAAAAAACTTCAGGGCCATCCTTGCTCCACCTGTTAGGTACTGGGCACGCACGGGCGGCCGACTGAAGTAAAAATAAAACAAAACACAAAACGGGATGGGGGGGGGGGGAGGGGGTAAGTTGAGAATAAGTTTGCGAACTTAAGCATTCCATTAATTATTTTTTTTGCCCCATTTTACTAGCATCAACATTAGTCAGCGGCTGAACGGGAGCCTGTTTCAGAGGCAATTTTGTTTTAACAAATTTTTATTTTACCTTTTCCCCGATAGTTGGCATCTGCAACCATAGAGATAGCTGCAACTCTGAAAAAAAAACCAAGGGGCTTTCATTTGCAGCACAAATGAACCACCCTTTGAGAACCAACTTATTGTCTGGCCAAATAATTCGATTTTTGTAAAAGGAATAATTCAATAACTAAAGGTCGGGGATTTTTCGTGCGACGTCTCACTCAAACCCTTTTATTTATTGCTAGTTTTAGCTAAGTGGATACTATACGTAAAACAGAGAAAAAAAAATAATGCACGATTCTTTGGTCTTGTAAGATTAAAAAGATATTGATGTACATTTTTCATCATGTACAATCCCTAAATCAGCACTCAGGACACGAATCTCATTCAGCAAGGTTGTGGTACGGTGTCCAGGTCCCAGTGGATGGGTACTCCTTGCAGTATATTACACAAGTAATGGAAAGTTTGATAAAAGTGTGCCCGCAGGCATACTTTTTAAAAATCACCTTCAATTTTTGTTGTCTTCCTCTGAACGATACCATTTCAGATGGAATCATTTCACAGGGTATGTAGTGCCATATCTTCACTTTGCAAATGTTTTTTTTTTTCCGCATTAGGTTCTTTTCTGGAGTAAGTTACCGATGTTCCTACTATGATGCCTTTATTGACTCAAAGAAAGTTTGGCAAGTACACATTGCATGATGCACTATTTTTTTTATTGACATATAACACAATGTTATGGGATGGGCCAATAAATAAGGACCCAATGTAAAACAAACATACCGGGAATCTTATGACTTTTCCCCACAATTTAGGACATAATTATTTTATTACTACCTTTAAATATCATTCAAATATCATTTTCTCTGAGGTTTTCAGTTTCAACAGATACTGCGACTTTGCAAGGATCAAATAAAAGAGTAGTAACTGAACAAGCAACATTCTTTTTTATTTTGATAATTCAATACGACACATATTGAAGGAGGCTTTTTCATTTCAACCCCATTATTGAGATGGCTATGGCAAAGTGGCATTGTACTTGTACTCGTGGCAAAGTACTGAGTTTCATACTCGCACTCAAGGAAATGTACTCGACTTCAACACTGGTTGGAGTGCTGTGGCCTCGTGGTTAAGGGCACTGGATTCGTGGTCTGTGGGTAAAGCTGCAGGTTGTGGGTTCGAGTCCAGCCAAGGTCATGGTGTGTGTGCCCTTGGGCAAGGCACTTTGTCACTCATTGCTTCTCTTCACCCAGGAGTAAATGGGTACCTGTGAGGGCAGAGATGGTTATTGCGATTGAATTAGCTGCCTTGCGCAAAACAGGCTGCATCGAGCTGTACACTCCCCAGGGAAGTGAGATGGTATTTTGAGTTGTTGAATTGGCCCAATGATTAGGAGTAATAAAGCGCTTTGATCATAGTTTAAAGCGCTATATCAGAACCTGTTATTATCATTATTATTACTGGTTGAAAGGTGACCACAAGCATTTAGTCACAATGCCTAAATGTACATTATGCACCAAATATGAGCAAACCTAGGTACAAGAGCCCAGAACATAAATTTATTGTATTTAATAAATACAAGCAGCAAATGTTAACAGTTTTAAGAAACATTGTCCCATTAAGGCAAAGGACTCCAAGCTCAATCTTATGTGGGGAGACAAAACTTCATTCAAAAATTGGTCATGTCATTTGGTATGCGCTTTTTTTTACTCACCCTGTATAAGAGGATAGTCAATGCCCTCATATTTCCATTTTGCACTACTTCCGTTTCCAAAGTTTCTAGTGATTTTGAATGCCACTCTGTGTGTAGTGGGCGTGGTTCAAGTTGAAATGACATCACACTTACACACCGGATAGCCCCGCCCATAACGCTTTGACCAATCACAGCCATGATTAAATCTCTGACATGCATCTTAAAAATTCCAACATGCGTGGCACATCTGACACATGTGGCGTTAAAGCAGCATGTTGTTGCCCATGTACCCAGTGGGTGGAGCTTAATGTCTGTCAATTCTACCTTCCACGCACTCTGGTTGGTCTAGTTCTCGAGTACTCTACAAGTGGAAAAACAGAGCCCATTAGGCCAAAAAAAAAAAGTCTCCGGTTTCTGGTATGGAGCTTGCCCAAAAAGTGGTGCGGCGACGCGGCTTTTTTTTTTTTTTAACCTGATTTTTTTGCTTCAAATGTCGGCTGACGACTGCAAATGGTGCCCGACTAAACTTAGTGCAAATACATGGGAGTCCAGAGAGACCACATAAAGCTTATTCTCGACCATAACCCAATCTAAAAACACGTTAAAATTGTACAGCAGCAGGATTCCAGTCAAACCAGTGAGTTTGGCAGTTTTGAGACATCATCTTTCATTAAAAAAAAAACTTTTTCATTTTGCCGACACGCATGGCTACGGCGACGCGCGCGCATACCAGAAACCAGAGACTTTTTTTTTTGGCCTTAGTAGGCATGTAAACATTTCAAATGAATTTGATCTCATATCAGAGGTTACAAGGACAATGAAATCTGAGAGAGACTACCAACGATTAACCTTAACCCCCTAGGCCCTTCAACGGTTAACCCTTACCCCCTAGGCCCTTTTGGCTAGGAACCATCCTCAATCCTGCAAAATCCTCCAATTCCTAGCATGTAAAAATTGGATTCAGCCTCAATCCTCCAAAATCATCCATCCTTTCTTGAATTTGTTCAGTGGAGGGGTGATCATTGCCTCAATCCTTCAAAATCCTCCAACAATCACTGTGAATGGGTTGAGATAGTGCCGATGACATTCAGAAGCAGTGCGGATGATATCGAGCATAATGCAGGGCTCTTCTATGCATGACTGAACAAAAACAGTGCTGGGTACAGCCTACAAACTCGACGCAATGCATCCTCCAAAATCAACCGCCACTTTTGTTGCCATTCAGCCTCATCCTCCAAAATCTACCAAAAACCACCTGGAGGATTTTGGAGGATTGAGGAGGGTTAGGATTCATTACGCGACTGCAAAGCTCATTCATTGTAAAAGAAAATAGAGCAATATCCCAAATCACAGTGAGAAGTTCCAATAACAAATACTAACAATGTCAGCTAATAGGAAAAAAGGAATCACCGACTGTTGTCCCTAAATACCACAGACTAATTTTTTCTTTGCAAACTAATACACCGAAGAAAACACAAATACTGTTTTTGTGCGAGGTAAGCAACACAATTATCCAAATAGCCAGAACATGATTGACAACAAAAAGTGGGACTTACATAATTATTGGAAAAAAAAACAATATCCCAATCTGTTGAATATCTGAAATTCATTTAAGAAACTATTGTTTCAGTATGATTGTTTTTGTATAAACAATTCTCTGGGGGGCATAAGCACAGGAATTTTTTCAGTGTTATATTTAGGCTGATTTATTAGGATAATTTGCAACGATAAAAAAATTGTTTAATTTCCACAATTTTCTATTGTGTCCATAGAGCTATATTAAATTACTAGAGTGCTAACTCCTCATTCTTCCGTGCAGAGGTACTTTGAAGCCGTCCTGCGCACAGACATTTTGAATTCATGTGCGTGTTTGCTGAACATAATGAAATTAGATGGAGTGAATTTTGAAAGTGTACTCTATAAATGCAACGCACAAGAACAACACATGCAAACAACTTAAGCGCGTCATGACGGTGAAAAAAACGTCACGGCAAAAATTATCTGCAGTGGATACGCGCTCGCATTTGCAATGTTTGCGTAGAGCAAAATGAAGCGTTCATTTACTGATTATGATTTGCGGTTTTGGGTGTGGCGGCTTTGATAACGTACCTGTATAGAATACAAATGCAGATATGCAAATAGCCGTACAAAAGCCGTACACAATTTTGAGTTTTCCATTTTGAGTTTTTCCACAATCATGGATGCGCCCAGCAGGCATCACTTTGTACATGGAGTCAGCGCTCTAGTAATTAGATATAGCTCTATGATTGTGTCTTATCTATTACATGTACATACATGTACAATGTACCACTTGTTTTATCAGGGGCACCAACAAATGTGAATTACGGTTTTAAATAATAGGACTTTGCTCCGACTGCTTTTAGCAGAATAAGCCAGTTTGGTATTTCAACTGCACATGCGCACAATGATATGGGTCACGGGTCATTCAGGACAATTGAACGCTCATCAAAAGCGCATGAGCGCGCAGGGAGACGGGTGCACGAGCAGAATGGGTGTTCGCGTAACATCACGTAACATCACATCAGCAATTTTATCCCGAATGAACTTTGACCTGGACTACTTCATCGCGATACCGAACTGGCTTACTGCATGGATACAAATTGTAACAATCTCACTGTGCCAATTCTAACGATTCAATTACAGGTATAAAATAAACTGAAACAAGAGCGAGCGTGTTAAGTACCGTTGAAAACCTGACCCATCCGAACTCTCAGTGCGGTAAACTGGTTCTTTCGGCAAGCAGCATCGAATTCAGCAGGGGTAAATTACTCCACAAGAGTCAGATGACAAAACTCAGTTGTTAAACCTTTACAAACATTGGTTTGGAATGAAAACCAATAGATAATGCTACTTTATTTTTGTTTTTGGAGTTGTTTTTCTTTGGAGGAAGATTTTTTCGGGGGGTTTCATATGATTCTTCCGAGGATAGCAACTTCGTCGGGATTCCCCCCGGAGTCGGAGACGTCTACAAAACCCAGTTTGTTGTAGAACTCCGTGTGGCCCTTGTTGGCAGTGCTGACCTCAACGAAAGCACCGTGAGAACCTAAAAAAAAAGAGACAAAATTACCAAATTCTCAACGATCTTTAAAAAGAAAAGTTGCTGTTGGAGGTGCAAATTCTGCTTTTAGCTTTACTGAAGTTATTAAGGCATCATAAAGGTTGGCCAGTGGCATATCCAGCAGGAAGGCAAGAGGGCTTCCCCTCCGCCTGGCGGCATTTCGATGGCATAATAAGACGATTTTAAGATGGTTTTAAGATGGTTCAGATGCAATACACTAAAGCCTTAATTTTGCTCCTCCCCCCTCCCCCAACATAAAAAGCAGGACACGCTGCCAAGGTTGGGATTGGGTTTTTCTTTACTAAAATCCCCCAAAAGGTGCATGTATTTTTTCTCCGCATGGTTATCAGGAGCCACTAACAAAGCGAGTCAAACATTTTTTTTGTAAGGATACGTTGCGGAGTTGGCTGTACATCTTCGTAGGAAAATTACAACTGCCTATTCAATGTCATCAGGTATGTGTGCGCCCAGTGGGCAAAATGTTCTAAACACACACGCATGTTGCTCAAAATTTCTTCGACCTACGGCACAGCCGATGCGCATCACGAAAATGCTAATGCACGTGACAATCTATGGGCAGTGACGTCATTTGGGAGAGATCTATGTCCTATGTGGAATGGGTATTACTGGCAACTTTGCAAGAATCATCTTGTAGAATGAAGTTGTCAATTTGTAAACAATGCTGATGACTTATTGTCGGGAGATTCTGGGAACCTTGTTCTGAATTCTGCAATTAGTGTCCAACATGCGACTACTGCGGATAAACTTGCCCTTAATTTTTTTCCGGATGTTGAATGATATCATTTCTAAGACTAGAGTCAGTCCGAAATACTGTGATCTTCATTTTCTCGTCCATGTGTAAGGTCGTAACATTTATCTTAGGCACTCACCACTTGTCTTCAGTGCCGACAAGACGCAGGCCAACATGTTCTTGACTACCCCGGTGTCCTCCACACACGGCAGGACGTCCAAGCGAAGCTGTGAGGGAAAGCGGCTGAATAGCGACTCTGTTAAGGGCACGGGGTCTTCATGGAAACTGAGGATCGTTTTCTACAAGCAGGAAAACCAACACAACAAGAGGTATTTAGCTGTAGCATTCGTTTTTGCAGAACTGATGAAAGAACTGCAAAATATACGTTGCAAGTATCGTCCATTCCAAGCACGCTACACCTGTAAAATCAGGGAGAACCCCTTCAATGAGAAAAGCATTGTGCCCGCTATTGGTCAGAAAATCTGTTATGCGGCAGTTGCTTTCTACAAAGCTGATACAACGCTTTCGCCATTGAAGGAATTAGACTTGCTTTTAGTTTATCACTGACTTTCACTTGTGAATTAGACTGGTTGCCTATCTCACTGATGAATTGTCACTTGTGAATGAGACTGGTTGCCTGTCTCACTGTCTGACTGTCACTTGTGAATTAGACTGGTAACCTACTAACCTATCTCATTGCCTGATTGTCACTGGTCACAATTAGGGTTGTTCAGTTTCAAATAATTTAGTATTCGATATTCGAAGCTGCGTTTGACCGAATATACAAAATTTGCCGATCAAGCTTCTTACCATGCAGCATGCATGGCGGAAGGAACAGATGTCACATATCATTTTATTATTTTAATGACATATTACAATAGCTCTCCTCAAAAAGCACATGTAGTACCCAATACTACGGTATCTTTGTCGCGGTATACCCAGGAACTAGCGCAGCAACTTTTACGAAGTCATGGTGGGGGGGGGGGGGGGGGAGAGAGGGGGTTCAACCCACCTGTGCCTGAGTTGGTTTCTTGGTCTCACTAGGCTTGGGGTATTTCCTCTTCATCTCTTCCAACCAAGCCACCTGCACCTGCTTGTTGAAGTTCTTGGCATTGAAGGCGGCCAGAGCGTAGCCCACGATGTCATCCCGGTCACAGAGGACGAAGCAGTACTCCCGACTGAAGGTTAGGAATGTACCCGCAAGCCTGTCAATCAACAGAAATGAAAGATTCAACGATCTATAGATCATTGCTGATATGCAGCTGTGAATTCACAAAAAGAGAATTCAAATCTACATGAGACTTTGGGGCCGTCCATAAAGTACGTACACAAGAAATGCCAAATTTTTAGACCCCCCTTCCCCCCTGTACGCATGGCGTACATAGTGGTTCCAACGCCCCCGCCCCCTGTACGCATACGCATTCCGTTGTACAATATACATTACATGTACTGTTCATGTACATGTACTGTACATACACATTACAAAGTTTTACGAATGCGCTATGCTTGCCGGGTACAAAGCATTATGAATGCGCTATGCTTGCCGGCTAATTGAAGCAGTCTTGTTAGTGGCGATTAATCCAGGGATTAGAGGAAGACATTCAAGTCAGCATACCTGTCTCCGATGAGTTGAGGATGATCAGGATAGAGACCAGAGCCATCCCCCCCATCAGCACATGTGAGTAGACACACCCTGTATACAGCATCCTGGCCAACAACAGAAAGGGGCAAAACAAAAATTAATACAGTGTCTGTTACCCATTCCAAATAGTGTTTAAGATTCACCCTCGCAGGAGATAAATGAATCTCATGTACGACTCATAACCGAATCTCACAAAGCTGAGATATTTAAGTGATCTGTGATGTGTCTTAAAGGGCCCATGTAATGTAATTTTTGTCCATGCAGTCCTTGGAAATGCACTTTGTGTCCCAATTAACCTTATTTTCAAATTTTTTGGTGCCATTTTTGGTTTTTATGTTAATGCAAATTTGCATATTCATGAGCAAAAGTGTGATGTCATTTCAGGCAGAAACCTCAATGTCACAGTTATTTCAGCATCAAAATTTGCCAGAATTTTGGACATTTTGCTTTATTAAATTCTCTTTTCTTCCATGATTCGTTGTTGCGACCTCATCTGTCAGGAAAAGCAGGGAAAATGTTTAAATGTTGAAAGTGCACTTTTTACTAAGATTAACCAAAAAGGGATGTCAAATAGTTTTCATATATGTGACCCGCTCCACAAAAATGAGTCTGTTGTGGCAAAACTGACATTTTGAGTTAACTACATTAATAAAATGGGAATGAAATAAGCTTTCATTTGGTATATCATGGGCCTCTCTAGGACGTTTGGTTGCACTGTTGTGCCTTTTTTAATTCTGTCAAGTTTTTGCAAAGCAAGAAATGTCTCAATGAAGAAAAAAGGGGTTTAAAAATTACAAATACACTGTTACTAACCAAGAAAATCACCAAAAATCATAATTTTTTTTGTCTTTTTCTTACAATATTTAAATTTCTGTGCAAGATATCTGAACTAAAACTATCAAACAACCAAAATAAAACAAAAACAAAAAATCCAAATTTTGAGCAAATTTTCACTGTTTCCATTTAAAAGTGGTGAAAGCTGGAATTCAAGCTATGCGACATCAGACTCATTTTTGCAGAGCGGGTCACATATTTAAGAGGAATAGATAGTTGCACAAATTATGTTCCCAAGTAAAATTCAATTCATGAACCCTATGGGCTCCGTGCGCTAAAGAAAGAGGGCGCCCTTTTTCCTAGCAACGACGTCCCATGGGCGGGACATTTAGCTGGTTGACGCACACCGTTCCTTGTGTGTGACGCACGTACACCAGGGGATTTGTACTATGTACACGCAGTGGTACATGATACGGCCGTGCGTCGCGGCAAAATTGCAGTCAGACAAGATGGCGTCGGTCGGTCCCCCCCCCCCCCCCAACTGTGCTTTCTTTGCCGGTGAGGGCGTACTTGTGAACGGAGCGGATAAGTGACCTTGGTGATACCCTTTTCCAGTCCACATCCACCCAATCTGACAGACAGCCAGACAGACAGACTGACACAGAGATAAGACGAGAGAATCCACCTTACCTCATCGGCAGGCAAGAAGGGCCTGATTGTGTACACCTTGCTACTGACCAGGTACGGCTTCTTGGAAAACAGGTCTGCAGCTCCGTTTAATGGCAGCATTCTCTGTTGAATAAAGTAGGCAACAAGCGTTGGAGGAATTCTACCAAACTCTCAGAAACTACTTGAAATAGCATCAGCATTTCGCTTACATTCCAAAATAAACTGACCTTGGCACATTTTTTTTAATTTTCAATTTGCATGTTTTAAAAGCAATTGTTTTTGTCAATTTTGGACCTTCCAACACTTTGACAACACAATTTTATTTTGGGTTGTGTTTGCACCAATGCACACAAAAGATATACCTAAATCATTATCGTGCTGCAAATAAGTTGAATTTGTAAGTAAATATACCATAACTAAATGTGGGCAGATTCTTGTTCAATGTCTCTTTCAATAGTAAATAACTTTTGTAATGCTAGAAAAATAGCAATTTCAATTTTTTTTTTTTGGGGGGGGGGGAGTTGGGGGTAGTTTGAAACTCAAAAACAGGATAAGGACAGCAACTTTAATGTTACCTGTGAGTTACACGGCCAAGTGTCAGATAAGTGCAATTTCCTTAGAAACAAAACTTTTGACTTAGCTTTTGAAGAAATAAAGAAAGAAAGATGACTTTAAACAAGCTTATTTACTTGTTTAAAAAATTTCCTGAAACCTTCGCAGCAAAATTTGTCGGAGATGAAAAGTGTTCAACTATTGCAAATTCACAGCGCAAAAACTTGCAGGGTTGTCACAAGCTCGCATTCACGGTGAGAACATATTTGACCCGGCTATATGAAGGAATGGACCAGCCCCTTTTCTTAGGCCGCCCTCAGGTCGCCCTTGTGATGACACAGAACAGTTGGCGACTGACTTTTCAGGACCAAGCTGCGCCTAAGCTAAGACTGTTGGCACATATCAGTGGCCGATTTTTTTTGCCACCTTAGTGTAACTGCAACGATATTAAGACGATCGGCATCAGTCGGCGCTAAAAAAAATTCAACGGTTGCAAGAGTAGAAAAATTTCAACTTCTGCATCACGACGGAACAGGTTCCCGACAGCTGGGAACCACTCGCAGTCGACGTCGTGCGTGCATCCAGATCGTCTTATTTCATTGTGTAGCCAATCAGTGTGCGGCAAAAATGGTCGAATGAACAGACGTGGCCGTGGAAGATCGTTTGATTGTTATCAACACGCACACCGCCATTTTGAAGATGTCACATGATCACGTCTATGCTGAGGAATGGTCGTCTTGTTCCGCGAGAATCACACAATTTCTCAGTTTCTGACCTTACACAGACTTTGAATATGCCATTCGGTATGTACATGTACACACTGTGTATTTCAGAGGGTGAAGGCACGGTTCCTTGCAAAAAAAGAATTTCATACCTGGAACTCAGCAGTCAGCCCACCACGGAAGACCCATGGTTCTAGATCACCGCTCATGAAGGCTTCCTTGTAGCCCTTTGAACACCCTGAAAAGAAAAGCAAAACAGAGGAGTGTTGAACAGCTGCAAATTTCACTGTATTTACATCAATCAATTCTCATTGGAACTTTTGAAAAAAAAAAAGATGTTTGACACTCTTTATAAGGAGTATGATTTATTGCTATTGTAAAAACATCATTGTTTTTATAAATTAAAGCACAGTTCAATAACTTTTTTGATGCTTAACCTGTGCTTTTTTATATAACAGACCACATTTTTGTTTAAATGAATCATTGTGATCCCTGATAGGGAATTGTTTATTCCTTTGGAAAATTACAATTGGGGAGTCAAGTTGGCGTAGTGGTACTTTCCTCGCCTTCCACCACTGCGACCCAGGTTCAAATCCTGCCTGGGCCAAAATGTGGATTGGGTTTTCAGTCCCTCCCTTATTCCGTGGGTTTTCCCCAGAACATTCTTCTGGGCTTTTCCTCCCACCTCTAAAACTGTAATTTCTTCTCATTGTCTCCTCTCTACAGGTTTCTTCAGGCTTGCAAGCTGCAGTGCCTATAGGCGCTTTTGAGGAATCCTTGGTTTCATTACCAGAAACGCTTAATAATAATAATGATAATTTGTTTCTATCGATTATTAACGGCCATATTAAACTATTCAGACGGTCAGTTTCCCTGATTAACAGTCGTTGAATATCCAAAATACTTTGCTCTACCTAAGGTAGCCTCAAAGTTATATAATTAGCAGACCTCATGGTCTGGATTCCTGACTCGTGGGGAAAAAAATTGCACACTGATAAGGGCAGCGGGTCTAGATTCAACAAGGGGCGGTTTACAAGAGCAAAACACAGGCAGGTCATCTCAAAAGCTCACTCATGGGCTAAGAGGCCCCTGTTCCTTGCTAGAGCTGTAGAAAAAGACAAAAAATTCTGGCAACTAGCTCCCTGTTGACACAAATGGGTTCAAGTCTAAATCGCTGCATATCGGCGTCCATTTTGTGCCCAGGGATTGAGGCCAAAAGTTGTCGCACTTTCCTGCACCAACAGCTAGGATTCTTGCAGCTGTGGCCCGCTGTTGAGAATGGAATCTGGTGCATTGCACGGCTAGCAGCAAGCATGCGGCAGGACTATTTTTCCCTGACAGATTTTTTGAGGCTGTCACAATATTTCTGGACAACCAAATGTACATATACACTCAGGCAATGACTCTGACATGATTAGGCAGTTTGTTTTGGCTGTGAAAAGCAAGTCAAAATATAACAATAGGAGTAAAAATGAAATGTTATCAATGCATTTTAATAAGTGTTTGTTTATGCATCAGCAAAAACCAGTAGGTGTACATGTACTCACTGTTTTGTACGAATCTACCGGTACGCGTTGGAATTTGACAAATATTTAACAGCATTTTCAATACTTGATTACTGTTAAGCTCTGTGCATTGTTAACCTAAGACTTGTGTAGAAGTCTACCTGTATGATTTCTACAATATCTGAAAGGAAAATACTCCTGCCGTTGCAGAATGCAATGCGCATCGCAGCAAAGTTTGGATATATATATATATGTGTAGCAGCCACACTTGCCGATACCCAACTCCAGTCGGCTGTATGTACTGTCTCTGGCTCACAGTTTGATCCTCTGTCAAAATTGAAGTGAAGGAGCTGTTTCGTGGAATTTTAAAGGGCCACACTTCCTAGCACCTTGCTGCCATGGCTGCTACTAATATTAAAGGTGCGTGCTGCAGTTGCAGGATGTTAATTTAAGGTGGCCCTTTAAAAAGAAACGGGTACAATGTCTTGGTGTCCATATTTTTTCAAAGTTAACATTACCTTTGTTACAACGCAACCAAGCGATCAGATTAAACACTTGTGCTTGGAAGGGTTTCCTTTGAACGCTGGGACTTGTACATTTTGAAAACTTATAGAAGGCAACTGGCTTCACAAGCCGATGGGCCCATCCAACGTTCCCCATCAAAGAATGTTGTGAAAGGAAATTTCACAACAACTCATTAAACTGAGCAATTTGCTTTCTCATCATTCTTTGCTTGACTGTAAACACTAACTTAGCATTGAATGATTGTATCCACAGCGGAATGTAGTCTGAGAAAAAAAAACCTCTTTCCTGTTGTACGTCAGAATTTTTTGATGGACACCAAGACAGTGACCCCAAACCCAGAAACAGTTCATTACACATTTCTTCAGTAAAACATCAGCATTGTCATTTTTAGGCTCCTTTTTAAAAATTTTTGAGGGGAAGCCAACAACGAAGATGTTTTTGCTGAGAAGATACTCCTTGCCTGAATGAAAAAAAGGCACAAGATTAATGGGGAAAACGCCAAAAATAATTTTTCGGTTATTTGCCATCTCTATAATGGATCACACAACAGGAGTAGAAAAAGAAAGCATCATCAAAATTCATTCTGAAAAATGGTATGTATATTTTATGTCAGAATACCGGTTCGATTGCTGTTTGCTTGTGGTATACTGATCGAATTTGCATATAATCCTGAATGTCTGGTTCACAGAGTTCGACAATATTTTATTTCAAACACTTTTTTGTCCTCTAGTTATGGTGAATATTTGCATATCACCACGGTGATCGCAATATTGATGGCAGATAACCAAAAAGTGAGCATTAGAACACCAGAAACCATTCCACAGACAGGGAACAGTGAATTCAGGGCAGGCCTCCAGAGTTGAACTTTTGAGATGACTCGGTCACGGGTAGAAAAGAAAAATCATGCACGAATCAAATCGAACGCAGTAATTCAAGTAAAGCAGGATTTCAATAAGTTAGTTTGGCATTCCAAGTGCACATGTACTTGATTGATTTTTCTTTCAGGACAAACATTTCATCGTATGCTTGCAAAAGCATAGCGGGGTGCCAGAAAAATTGAAGGGATTGTTGTGTTCTGTAGTAACATTTTGCAAAAAACTGTTTGGACAGCGACGTGTTTTTAGGTGTCTGGTGTGTCCAAACTTTTGTGTGAACGAAAGTTTCCATCTCTTTCTTCGATTGCACGAAAAATTACACAGAATGCAGATTCGGTTATCACGTCCCCATAGCCTTTAATGTATTTATCTGCCGCGTTTATCCCGAAAAAAAATCGTCGAATCTTGTTGTGCACCAGACTATTTTGGAATACCGAACTGGCTTATTGAAGTTTTGCTATCTTTAAAAAAAATTAAATTTTGGAGGGGGGGGGAGCTAAAATTGCAGTCAATATTCAAGAAGTGCCAGTCCTTTTCAGCCTCGCAAAGACTAAATCTGATTCGAATCAACAAAAAGTAAAAGAACACAGTAACAAAAATTATGACAAAAGATGACTACCGAATCTGTCTGGCTGGTAACCATGCTTTAAACAAAGGTGGATGGTTTCCAGTGATGGATACCAACAGAAAAAAAGGAAGGGTCAAAGGTTACTTTCTATATTGTAGAATTTGAAAGTCTTGAAACTCAAACCTCACTGCCAGATGGGGGTTGCGCAAACAACTTCTGCGTTAAGCTGCCACACGTCAAAGTAATTAAGTTGTTTTCACAAGAATTTCAAGCACACAACAGCGGCAAGCTAGCTGTGCAGCCTCATCAGTCGAAAAAGTGCAACACATGACAGTTTTAATGTCTTCCAGTACAAAAAACAGCCTTCACGTGGCAAAATGGTCACGTCTATGAAATGCAAGTTATTTTTGCAGTTTCCAATAACACAATAACAAGAAAGGCACGGTTTGGAACAAAGATTTTTTTGTAATTGAGGGGTATCTCTGCGCTAGCGGCAAATAGACCACGAACATTGTGCCATGTTTGGGCTGTTTTGTGTTTCAGGAGGGAATTTTCCAATCGTACATGATGGATGATAGTCCATGAAACAGCAGCCAATACGAGGAACTTTGCCAAGATCTAGAATAAAAAGAGAAACCAAAAAATAAAAACACAGCCATTAGGTTCTGCATGTAGTAAGCGCAAGACGGCAAAGCTTTCGCTGCTCGCTACGCAAACGCAGCACTTTGTTTAGGTAGATGACCTGACTCAGCAGTATAATGGTTAACCTTGACTAACAATCACAGAGCTATATTAAATTACTAGAGTGCTAACTCGATGTACAAAGAGATGCCTGATGGGCGCATCCATGTTTGTACACAAAGCTATGGAGAACTAGAAATTCGCTACGTATTTTGTACGTCTATTTGCATGTATCTGCATTTGTATTCCATACCGGTGCGTTATCGAAGCCAATACGCCCAAAACCAAAACGCACGATCAGCAAATGAGCATTTCATTTTGCTCTACACAAACGGCGCAACGCGTGCGCGTATTTGCTGAGGATGCTTTTTGCCGTGACTTTTTCTAACTTTCATGACGCGCTTAAGTCGTTTGCCTATGTTCCACTTGCACGCTGCATGTAGAGTACACTTTCGAAATTCAATCCATCAAATTTTATTATGTTCTACAAACACGCACATGAATTCAAAACGTCTGTGCCCAGGAAGGCTTCAACGTGTCTCTGCGCGCAAGAATGAGGAGTTAGCGCTCTAGTAATTTAATATAGCTCTATGCTAACAATGGAATAACAATCACGTGACCGACTTGCAAATGACCGAGCCATGACTAATTCCATGTGTCATGTACATGAAGTGGATAAACTGAAAACAACTGGATCAATAGCAATGTCAATCAATTTTCCCTTCATAATCCAGGTCAATTTTAGCAATATATGCATTCACACACTGTGAAGTATTCTTCATCTTAAACCGTAACTCTCATTAAACCTTGTGAAATTCTCCAAAATCCTTTACTCTGCAGGAACCATATATAGCAAACTATTTGGCCTTAAACTTTCATCTGTTACATGTAATGAGGCATCACGCCTCCTGTAAAATAGATGTAACTGCGGATGATCTTCCTCGATCCTGCAACATCTTCCATAATCTGGCGGATTTGGAAGGATTAAGGGGAGGGTAAATATACAATCATAGGTACATGGATTCATTCATCTTCGGTACACTAGTTTTGCCCTTGATTTCGTAAAGGCACAGTTATAATGACTCAAGTCAATGACTCGACTGAAGTCCGACTCAAGTCACAATTTTCGGCCACTCGACGTGACTGGAGTCCCAACGGGTAACTGACTTGCTTTGACTCCTGTCACTGTGAGCAAATGACTTGACTCGACCCGAGTCCCTCGTTAGAAGACTGGACTTGACTCCAGTTCATGGCTAATAACACCCGAGTCCAAAACTGTGCAAAAAATATATTTACGGCGACTCAGTTATTTATGTTCGCGTACTTCACGCTACCGTCAAATTGTGGCTACTTATCGTGTACAATTATATGCCGTATCACAGACTCCCATATCTTGGTTTTATAATGTAGCGCACAAACTACTATCCCGGAAATAGACTTTAAACGCAAATTTCCAAATTCTTGGATTCATCATCGGCTTTGGGCGATTTGGTCTTCCCGAAGTCCAACCACATGTACATATCGTCGGTTGCACCAGGAAGTGACGTATCGGGCTCACAAACTCCATAGACGATACGTCACTTCGTGGTGCACACGTTGATATACAGACCAGGATGAAAAAAAAAAAATATCAACAAGTTACTGCTGAATCCTAACCCATTCTCTGTCTCCTTTGTGTTAATTTATGGTGGTGGATGGTGTTCAAATATCAGTGACTCCAATTGACTCGAGCATAAATTTGACTCGACTCGACTCAACCGCACAATGTGACTCGACTGGACCTTCTTGATCTAATGACTCGACTCGAGTCACTTCCTTTAAATGACTTAACTCGACTCAAGTCACAAAGTTCAGTGACTCGCTACAACTCTGCCTAAAGGCATTTATTTTTAAAATTCTGTTTGCTTCAATAGAATAGTATACAAAATATTGACTGCTCCGAGTGGTGTAGTAAAACTAGCCTCCCAAGGTGATGCATGAAGCGTTCTGTTTCCTGAGGCATTGCTGATGGAAATGTAATGTGCCATGGATCACCTGGCTGTTACTTATTTCACTCATGGAAATGTCAACTCAACTCAATCACCTTGAACCTTTTCAAAATCCCTAGACATGCTGGACAGACTCTGTGGAGGTTTACTAGTTTGTTGCAGTAACATGTACTCTGCAAAATACTTGTAAAAAAAAAATCTACCCAAGAAGTTGCCTAGACTAAGGAGTGGTGGCAAATATTGGGTTACTAGATTATGCTGTCATCGTCTTCCCAGCACTTGGTAGGGCATCCCTTTCTTTTTCTTTGGTTCTCATTTCTGACCGACCCTATTTGGGGCTCCCGATCAAAGCCAAAAAACAACCTGGAACCCCAACTAACAAGAAAAATTAATAAAGAAATGGAGAACAAAATTCAGGCAATCGTGCTCTGTGTTATTTGAAAAGCTACGGAAAGTAAGTTCTGATTTTACTCGAAGCACGGTGTATACTGGTAGCAACCAATGCAGTCCCAGAAGATGCAATGTTGTTGCCTCTCAACATATCTAGGGTCTATAAACTTCACCTTTACTGTCACGTCATGCCTGCCACTACAACCAAGACAGTGAGGTACATGGTGCAGATATCTTATGTAAGTCAACTACATCTTGCCAAACATAGCTTTATTATTGTTCGGTGTTATCAACTCATGATAATATCTTTTGCAATAAACAAAACAAGAGGCACTACGCACTTGGCATCATTTAAGTTATCCATCTATACATACGGGTGCAACTGTAATTTTCTTTTCTTCAGATTTATATTTTTTACCAACCGACTAACTGACCCTAAGAAAAATGTGAGAACCATAGAAACCCTGGCATGCTGGCAGTATTTATACAGTAAGTTATTAAGCACACATTTCAGTGCACCTAACGAAAATCAACAATGACCTCATGTGACCCCTATATGACATTTGACCCCTATATGACATTTGACCTCAAATGTCTCAAGTCACATGTAGTCCCCCTACCCAAAGATTATTGTCACCAAGTTTGGTTGCGAGTGAAGTCTGACTTTTCATGACAGCACTTTTCAGTTTACCAAACCAAAACCAACAAAGACCTCATTTGACCCCTAGATGACCTCTGACCTCAAATGACATCCATTCATCTGATGTCCCCTACCCAAAGTTTATTGTCACCAAGTTTGGTTGAGAGAGAAGTCTGACTTTTCATATGACAACACTAAACAGTTACACTATCCAAAATGGAACACACAGACACACAGACACACAGACGAAATACGCTATCGCAATGTGCCCGGCTTTCTGGTTTAAAAGCCAGGGGGATAAAAACAGCCCAGGGAAACTTACCAAGCCACTTGACGAAGGAGGCCAGCGTGGAAATCACCCCCTCCATGTCCCACATGTACGGGTAGAGGTCGTAGAGTAGGGAGCGGTTGGGGATGTTGAGCAGGCGCATCATCACCTGGTGCACCTGGCGGCTGAAGTCCACGAAAGAGGCGGCCCGGTCTGCCCACTCGCCGGCCTAGTTGCAAGCAAAACAAGGAGCCAGGATATTAAGGAATACATTTGATGCTCATTGCTTCTGTTAGAGCTTAGGTCCCCCTTGAAATATTCCCAATGCCAAGTGGTAGTTTCCCCTCTCATAAAGAAATTCAAAACCTTCACTCAAAGTTGTGGTGCTCCCATTTGTTGTATTATGACGAACACTGTGATTCAGCATACACTGTGCCTGCTGTTCGTCAAGTACAGTGAAATCCCAATCATGTCAATAGGTCAAATCTCAAGGGAATGGATAGAAAATTCGAGATATTCGCAGTCAGAGTTACGCAAAGTTCACAATTTTTCAATGATCATGTACAATGTACATATAAAGCATACAATGTACATGAATGGCTTTCACAGTAACTCGCTATGCCGGACACATTATTTGGCTCACTTTCCTTCTGAGTGGATGGCCACTTAGGCTTAGGTTTTGAATGTCATTTGCGGACAATTCTTAAAATGAAAACAAGGCTGCATGGAAAACAACTTGCAATCCACACCATAAAGCTACATGTATTGAGCTCATTGTACACCATTGTATCTTGCTGTGGTAGTATTATCGTGCAGACATTTATTGTGTCAGTTGATTAAAGCTGGAGTCCATCATTTGCAGCTGTCCAAAAAGTAACTGGCGTAATTCTTGTTGAAAAACATACTTGGTTGAGAGATAATAAGGGGACTAAACTCCCTGTGAAATTATTCTTTCTGGAAAGTTGTCATTTTGAAGAAATCAACAAAAGAAGGCCTTTCCAACGATGCTTCTTAAGACGTACCGTAGGAAATTTAAATTAGTAGTTCATTTTGTTTTGCAGCGAAGCGTGCGCAAGCATTGGCACGACGCACATGTGCGCGGTTGCTATAATTCGTCAGATCAGTGCGCGACACCGCGTAGCTGCAATCGGCTCATTGAGAACGTGTCTCGGACGCTGAATTCAGGCCCAATTTAAAACATGATTCAGGAACTTTTGATTTGATATCAAGATCCTAGAATGCGTTTTTTTCTCGGAATATACAGCTGAAGCTGAGCTGAAACTTCATCAGGTTAGTTGTTCAATACCCTTCTTTAGATTTTGAGCACGTTTGTTGCTTCAAACGAACAAAATGCACAAATTACAAATGATGGACTGTACCTTTAAGAAGGATGCATTGTGACAAGGTCTTAAAACTGCACCTTGTGTTATGCATGCTTATCCATGCATAAACTATGCCTCATTATATAATCCTAACGTTACCAACTCCATCAAAATCCACCAGCACCAGTGGTGGATTTCAATGGATTCAGTCCTGAAGCATTATGTGAAGCAGAGTCAGCGATGGATTTTGATGGACATGGTCTTCTACTAAGTAAAACTACCGGTAAGTAGGGATTACGGTTAAACGAGATATCATCCGCAGTGCTTTTGGATATCATCGGTAATTCCTCATTGTGTTACGATGATTGTTGGTGGATTTTGGAGGATTTTGAAGGATTGAGGCAATGGTCACCGCTCTACTGAACAAATGCAAGAAATAAAAGGTGATTTCGGAGGCTTGAGGCTGCACCAATTAAATGGAGGATTTGGAAGGACTGAGGATGGATCCTAGCCAGAAAAGGCTCAAGGCTAGGGTTAATGAGCGCATCCGCATTATAAAATCTTAGATGTCAAATGTAACAGGGACAGGAAAAAAGTAGACCCCAAATGTTTCGAATGATCCATCCGGCAAATGTAATCAGAATCATACAAACATGTAAGATAATTTGTTTTCTATTCAAAAATGGCCTAAAATACAGGAACAAAGATTACTAAAAAAAGGGGAGAAGTACATCATGATATTTTATTTACCGTATCAGATGGATTGCTTTTGAGTTTGGCCTCGCAGATATGATGAGCATTCGTTTTCAACCAGTGTATCTCCTCCAACATCTTGACCGCTCTACTACCGTGCTCATACGGCAGATAAAATAGTTCCACCAGGAGCAGTACGTCCTCCACGGTGATCTTCTCCGTGGCAGCCAGTTTCTTGGTCCGTTTGTCCGAGTCTGAATCCTCGTCGGGGATGTCCGAGTCAGGCTCGGCAGACTCAATGTTCACGTCTTCCGGTTGGCTGTCGGCATCTGCTCCATCGCTCTGCATCTCAGTATCCGTGTCCGTCATTGTCTCTGCCATCGCTTCCACCTCTGGGGTCTTGCTGTGCGAATTCGACGTGTTTTCAGGTTGTGCGTGGTTCCCCTCCGACTCCTTCTCCACGGTTTCGTCAATCTGCATGGCAACCTCGCTGACCTTACAGACCGTCGTGGTGGTGGTGGAGACGTTGGAACTCATCTTGGTTGGCACAACACAGCTCGGCACCGTCTCCTTCCGGGAGGAGAAATCCCCGTTGCAGTCCATCGGCTCCAACGGATCGCCCGGCGCAAAGGCGTTGGACACCAGCGAGTTGACGGGGTTGGGAATCGGCTTGAAGTTCTCGGCCGCCGCGCTGACTGCGGCCAGGGTGTCGAAGGCCTCCTTGTTTTTCAAGAGTTCCTCGGCCAACTGTCCCTCCCCCGGAGAGGGCATGTCTTTGCTGCTGGACGTGGTGGGAGTTGTAATACTCATGCAAGTGTTGATACTGGGTATGGGCGGGGCCGTGGGGGGCACAGTCACCAGAGGTGGGGCTAGTAAACGTTTCTCATTTCCAGGCAAGACAGTCATTATCACTTCCATCCATTCTGTGACGGCGGCTTTCAACGCCAAGTCCGGATCATACTGCCCGTGGTTGGGATAGTTCCTGTGTGGGGGAACGGACTCAATGTCCCCTTCTGTTTCCAGTTTGATTTCCGCCGTAATGGTAGGATTGTCCGAAGGGCTTCCTGCTTTATGGAAAAATGAAAGAAAGTCTTGGTCAAGCTGAGCACACGAGATGTTATCAATTTGGTGAAAGATTACCTGGAATTGCTGCAGTTTCTGAAAACCTGCAACTTTCCGGGCTATTTGTGGGTAATACGAGTTCCCTAGCTTAGGATATTAACAGATTCACCACATTTGTTACACATGCATTGTGAAGCTGCATGTACATGTAGGGAAGATGTTTCTTTTATACTCATTTCCTTTCCGTCAAGTTACTGAAACAGAGAGTAATAATGCAACATATGATTTACCGTCACAAAACTCTGCTTAACATATCTCCGCAAACCAATAAAGAAAATTCTGCACTATGGTTAGCATATGTTATGAGTTAAGAATTTTGAAGCTGCAGAAAAAGTTTACAAGTCAGAGTTTCAATGCTGGGGGAAAAAAAATTAAAATAAAAAATCGCTGAAATCTTCACTTTTCAATCTTTTCCAAAATGTCCACATGAAATGTTTCAAACTGTCCTACCATTGCCGATTACTAGCAAGTTCCTGATATCATCCTCACATCAGGCCGGATTAAGTGTTCTATAGGCCCTAGGCACCAGTGTTCCGGAGGCCCTACTCTGACCTAGCCACCAACACCAATTTCATGTTGATGCTAAGCTGTACTAAGCAAGCCAGGCCACACCGTGATATTTTCGTAGGACCTCAAACTTTTTGTAGGCCCCCAAATTTTAAGTAGGCCCAAGGCAGAGTGCCTATTGGATAATTCCGGCCTGACACAATTGCTACACAAAAACATGGAGGCCAAAAATGAGCCATTGAGAAGCATTTTTGGCAAGACAAAATGGGCAATATGGATGACTTTTCCACGTACGCAACTCAACTCTCATTTCGAATTTTGCGCTTCGAGCACGTATAAAATAAGGACTGTTTTGTATTCGCACCATAAAGCAATGGCAGTGTGGCGTGGCTGAGGTTATTCGCAAAGGGCTCTTAGTGATTTATTATGCGCGCAGACTGCAACTTGTTTTGATGTTCCAATTTGCTGCCGAACCCAAATTGAAGCAATGTTCAGATAACATGTTTCGAACCGAATTGGAACCAAACCGGAACTGAACCTGAGGGATCTCAAATGATGTTGCCTTACCACTGGGCTCCTCCTTGCTTTCGTCAGGGTCTCCGTCGCAACAGTGCGACCACGTGGCCAGGGTGTGCAAGGCAATGTAGTTGGCTTCATATTCACAGTTGGGGTTGGTCAGGATACCACTGACGTAGGAATGTAGCTCAGAGGAACGGCCTTTGAATGGACCTACATGTAAAGGATACAAAAATATATAAATGTGTAGACCATATACCATAATCCATCTATGTTCACTGCACTGCGACCGAGTCTAGGAAACAAATGTAAAGAAATTTGTTGGAGAGTTTCTCAATAAATCGAGAAAGAAAATCTGTAAGTAAACTATGTTCGTCATTTCATGCATTTACAGCATTCAATCCTTTTTTTAGGCAGTCTTTCATACTTCAACATAAAAGCATGTCACACTTGTTTACCCACAGTGGCCGCAAGAAAAAATGAAGTACAGCATGTGCATCAGAACGTTGCACGTGTCACACTGCGTTAACGTGTAAACATGATGAATTAAAGTAGGGGAAGTTATATCCTGGACTTCCACACAGTAAACGATTAGTACACATAGGAAAAAGGACACTGTGCTATAAAATGTGTAACTCAACTTAATAATGACAATAATGACAATGACGATAATATTAATGAAATATTCTCCCATCTGTTACACGTATGCATTTGCTGCTGCATTCATGAACAAAATTGTCTACATGTTGTGCACACTTACAATTGACTCAGTTCCTTCCATGTTTGCAACTCTGCAAACTTTCAAAAACTTATTTGAGGTACACTTTTAATGGTCAGTTTTTTGTTAACAGTTACTAGATGGGCAATTCCGTAAAATCCAACATACGTCCGACCACATGATGTACATGTACAAGTTTGTTAAAGTGGTGATACCTTTAATAGTTTGGTCTGTGATTGTTTTCTACTCATTAGATGTCACATATTAGTGATGTATCACATTCACTTTTCCAACAGCACCTCATTAATTAACCCCAACAGAACTCAACCCATCAAACCCCAACGGCATGTTTTGTTGGAATCTGTCAGGATGGGTACAGTACTCCTAAACTGACAGTCTTTTACATTGGGTTGGCACACCTCCAGAATCAAAGTCAGAAATATGTGTGTACAGTTTCCCATATGGTCTTGGAATTTGCCAGGATGGGTATGGTTCCTAATAAATTATGCTAGGGAGTTAGGATTAAAGTGTCTGACATGTACATCTGAATTTCAGAATTGCCCAAATGTGTTGTCAACAAAATCAGATCCCAATATTTTTGAAATCAGATTTGACTTTGTACTCACCAAGGAATATCCTCTGTTGGTCGTAATCATTGGCGTGGACGTTATCCCAGATGACCGGTTTCCTCTTGATCACTTCGGTTAATTCCAGTATGGACTCAACCGATATCGTCTTGGAAACAACTTTGGGTCCTGCATAGAAAAAAAATAAATGGGATCTAACACATAGTTCGTGTGAAAAAAAAAATGTGTGATATCACTAATTCCCTATCAATTAGAATATGAATCAATTCATCGCGGCATAAATCAGAAAGAGGAGATAAACTTTTTGGCTTTTCTGCAAAGTTGTGGTTCGATGGTCATGAAACTTGGTGGATAGCTAGATAATGGTACCAGTATGCAAAACCATGACGTCATCATGACGTCATCAGTTGATTTTTTTATGATTTTTCTAATATTTACAATTTCATTCGGCTTCCAAAATTTAACACTTCCTTTCACTGGATTGACTTCAAGCTTAGTACAAACCAAGTCCACAATGCAAATGTATGACAAGTGTTACCAAATCCGAAGTGACGTCAACATGATGCCATCAACAAATTTTCTTATATTTTATATCTGTTGTCGGTAGCTCAATATAATTTTTTATGAACTTTGAACAAAAAAATAAAATTTACATGACTGCACATTGGCAAAAAAGCATCATGTCATACAAAAATAATGCGGAAAAGCCCTATGTTCTGTTTTCAAACAGACATAGACCTCTAGTTTTGTTTGTTTCCAGTTGAGCAAGCACTTAGGAAGGTAATTTAAAAAATACAACATGACTTGAGGAGAACTAGTGCTACAATAGTGGTCCCCCCGACTCAACTACTAAAAACAGTCAATCGATTGACTTTTTGTGGCTGCTCGGATGGCATTGTTGAATTTGCCAGCCAGAGGAGGGAGGTTAAGGGGGTTCTTAAAGGTAGGGCAGATCATTTGTCGATTGTGCATTTTTTTCATTTGAAGCAACAAAATAGCTCAAATCTGTAGACGTGTGCTTAACAACTAACCTGATGAAGTTTTAACTCTGTGAATGCTGTATACTTCGAGAAAAAAATATCCTAGGATCTCGTTTTCGACTCAAAATTTGCCAAGTCATAGTTTGAATTGCGCCAAAAATCAGCGTCCGGAACACATTCTTATTCAGCCGATTGCAGCTACACAGTGTCATGCACTGAACTGACGAATTACAGCAATCGTGCGCGTGTATGCGTTGTGTCAACAATTGGCGCGCACCCATTCACGGATGCGCCGAATTACAAAACCAACTACTAAAGGACATTTCCAATGATGCATCACTTGACGCGCTGTTGGAAATGGTTTTCTTTCATTGTTTTCTTCAAAATGACAGCATGCCAGAAAGACTAATTTCACATGGAGGTTAGTGCCATTACTATCTTTAAACCAAGTGAGCTTTTCAACAGTAATTTTGTCACTGACTTTGTGGATAGCTGCAAATGATCTACCCTGCCTTGATATACATAGAGTTCATATCCAAATGGGCTAATATACTAAATTTCAATAATTTTACCTGTCCACATGATTTTGATATCTGGTAGTAGCTTGGCACCTAGTGTCCTCAGGTATTCAGACTTGCGGACAGAAGGTTCTGCTCTTGTTGCACAATATTCTGTAAATAAGGCAAGAAAAGAATACTGTAGGAAGCTGAAACGTCATGCACACTAATGATGTGCAAACCCGACCCGAAACCGAAACGACACCGACTTCGGGTCGGGTCAGTTTGCCCATCTTTTCAGTCGGGTTTCGGTTTCGCATTTACATTTTCGGGTCTGGTCGGGTTGGTTTAGCCATATTTTGAAAAAACTGAAATAAACTGAAATAAACCGAAACAGTTGAGAAATTCAGGTGATGCAATATTATTGACAGTCACTGTGACCGCAGCCCATTGTGTGGTGTGGCCACCGAGCGCACTATCAAGTTCCCACGGTTTTAATGTCTCTAGTCGGATCGGGACTGAAAGTGAAATAGATAGATTGTAAAGTGATACTGCGTGGACTCTCGATCAACCCACTGAGTATGACAGAGAAAGAGAGACGATGGTTTTGCAAAAGAATTCATGCCCCACGTGGGTAAGGGGAGGACAGGCACAAAAAAGTGATCACTTTGCCCTAGCCAGGAATTCGGGGTTTTTTGTGTGTTTTTTTTCGGGTCGGGTCCGTTCAAGTCGGTTTTACCTTATTTATTGTCGGGTCGGGTCGGTTTGAGGGAGTTAAAATCGGTTTCGGTTCGGATTCGGTTTATATCTCTAATGTTTCAGGTCGGTTTGGCCTGGTCAACCCAACCGGATGCACATCATTAATGCAGACTAGCCACCCATAAATCGTCATTACATGGTATTACCGAAATATCGTCCAAGCCTAATATCCAATGAAATCTGGGCAGAAGGCATTGGCATGTCTAGCTGACTGCGAGATAGAGACCAAGTTCAATTTGGGAGGTTTATTACCAGTTGGGCAAAACAGGAACTTGGGCTGTCCGAGATGCTGAAAGACCTCGTTGGTGACAGAGACCTGGGCGTGGGCAAAGGTCTGAAACACCTCCTTATCAGCTGCACACATATCCGTGTCAATGTCGTCAAAGAGTAGAGAGAACGCCTCACATCCAAACTGGCGAACCTTCAGGGATAAAAACAGAGATAAAATTGTTCGGTTAACATGTAAGCAGTGTTGTCATCGAGTACATTCCCATGGGTAAGAGTATGAGTATCTTGCCATGAGTATGAACAAGCGTGCAAAGCAATTTTTCCCCATGAGTACGAGTACATAAGAGTGCATTTCCAAGAGTATGAGTAAGAGTACAAGTACCGTATTTAATATGAGTACAAGAACATTTCGATAGGTACACCGGTATCTTTCAAGGGCTTTTTGCTGTCAAACTAGGCATTAAAGCGTCTCGAACGACAGAAAGTTTTTTTCCCCCCTGCAGGTACCTCTTAAAGGTACAGTCCATCATTTGTAATTTGTGTATTTTGTTCGTTTGAAGCAACACACGTGCTCAAATCTAAAGAGGGGTGCTGAACAACTAACCTGATGAAGTTTCAGCTCAGCTTCAGCTGTATATTCCAGAAAAAAACAGCATTCAAGGATCTCTATTTCAAATCAAAAGTTGCTGAATAATGTTTTGAATTGGGCCTGAATTCAGCGTCCGAGACACGTTCTCACCGAGCCGATTGCAGCTACGCGATGTTGCACACCGATCCAACGAATTATAGCAACCGCGCGCATGTGCGCATCGTTCCAACGGTTGCGCGCATTTCACCGAATAAAAAAAATACTAACGCCATCTAAGGACCAGTTATTTTTTAATTGTTTCTTGAACATACATAATTTTTTTTGAAAATGAAGTCTGAAGGACAGTCTGCCTAATTTGTATGTACCTGTTCGAGTTTCCTCTTGAGACATGTGACTTCTTTGGCACTGGAGAAGGTAACATCCAGGCCAGGGGACAGTGCATAGACAAAGTCTACATTGTTTTCTTTGGCTGCGTCAATCAGTCCGGTCAAATGCTCTGTGAACAAAAAAATGAGTCATAGGCAAAAATATGGTAAAAAATTAATTCGAATTAATGACAAACTTCATGGTCAGAAATTACCCTAATACCTCCTATCTCGTGCTGGTTATCATGATCAATTCTGTTCCTTTGTTTGCAAATCTGAGTCTTTTACAATTCAATGACTTGAACGAATTTATGTATAGATTTATAAATAATGCATTACCTACAATTTGTATGAATGAGATGATGTGCACTCACTTAAAGGGAATAAACAACATTTGCAAACATCAAAAAACAAAACTACCAAATTATTATGAAATACCTTACTGGACTATTAGTGAATGACAGTCTAAAGCATCCTGTAAAATCATGGCATCTGGTGTGCTGTCATTTAAAAAAAAAAGTGATATTTTTGTATCGATTTCCAACGCTGGTCGGCCGACCAGCGTTGGAAAAACCTGACTTTTTTCAACTACTGCCCCCAATTTACCAAATTTATTCAGTCCACATTTTGTTTGCAATTGGTAACACGCCCTGAACGGATGCAAGCCAGCTAGACTGGTTCTATGACCTTACAATTCCCCGACATCTATAAATTGCTCCGTTTCATCTTAAGTGGGGTCAGGGAACCAGACTTCAGGAACATGATTGTTTCTTTTGGTTTTTCCAGCATCTACGAACACAATACTTCAAAAAAGTCAGTGAAACAATATTTGCTATAAAATACTAACCCCCCAAATCCATCCATTTCTGTAAATTATGGCAAAAGCAAATGTTGTATATTCCCTTTAACTCCTTTTTTACATTAACCTCTGACAATGAGCAAATTTTCGGGTTCTCAGTTTGAACAGAAAACCCCTATTTAACTGAACAGTGTCTTCACGAAATGACATCACAGCAACAGCACCCTCAGTTGTCCGGAAAAGAATGGAATTTTTTTTAAAAATGTTTAGTGCACTGTTCAATAAAATTAACCAAATAGGGAAGTCAAATAGTTTTCAAATGTTTAAAGGGAATGTACAACATTTGCTTTTGCTGCAATTTTCAGAAATAAATGGATTTGGAGGATTAAAATGTTATAACAAATATTGTTAAAATGACTTGTTTCACGTTTTGGGCTTGTAGATGCTGGAAAAACCAAGAAAACCAATCATGCTCTTGTAGTCTGGTTCCCTGACCCCACTTAAGATGAAACGGAGCAATTTATGGACTTTTGGGAATTGTAAGGTCAGAGAATCAGTCTAGCAGGCTTGTACCCCTTCACAGGTGAGTAATCAATTGCAAAAAAACTAATTATGAAAAATTGGGAGCAGTATTTGAAAAAAAGCCAGTTTTCTCCAACGCTGGTCGGCCGACCAGCGTTGGAAAAATACCAGTTTTCTTGAAAATGACAGCACACCAGGAGCCACAATTTTACAGGACGCTTGAGACTGTCATTCCCTAACAATCCAGTAAGGTATTTCGTGATAATTTGATCATTTTGCTTTATAAATGATGTTTGCAAATGTTGCATCTTCCCTTTAAGAGGAGTAGAAAGTTGCACACAATATGTTCCTAAGAAAATTCACATCATGGACCCTTTAACAAATGAGTCACAGACAAGGTGCTTTTAAGGCACTACATGAGACCGAGGACATTTCAAAGATATCTCCTTTCAAAGAGTTGACTTCCTTACTTACCAGCTTCTTCGACCGAGTACATTTCTCGCCAGTACATCCGATGTTTGCAGTCGTCTTTCGGTGCGTACATGTACGTGTTGAGCTTGAGTCGTCGCATGAGAGCAAACAGGTTCTTGCGCTGGGCTGTCGTCCATGGCCGGCCGTAAAAACCTTGAAAAGGACAAACGGTACCATTTCACGCATGCACATTATGGTCATTAACTATACATAGGTAAGGGCGGGCTGACGTCATCCGATAAAAACTCTACTCATTTGTACACCAGTTTTCACTGTTTTTTTTTTATGTGTTACCATTCAGCACTCCAGACTTGAGAACCATTGAGTTTCAAGAACATAGGTCTGGACACTAGATAAGCCAATGTGAGAATACGCACTTGTTCTTCGGTATCACATCAGCACTGAGCCAATTCGTAATGACATTTTTGTTTTGCCTTTGAACAAATGAGGACCTAACGTGTCAACGAGCAAACAGCAAATCTCAGTCTTGAAAGGGGAAATGTCTCTTTCTTTCCGAATTGTAAGGTTACCTAAATACCATCATCTTTATTTTTGATCTCTATATTGGATCCTGAGATGGTGTATTCTGGACCTTGTGGTCTGTGTTGGGGGTAAAGTCTGACGGTTTTGGTGGATGAGTTCCACGAATGGTTTCGGCTCGGACTCTAACATCGCCAAATCATGACCAAAAATTACCAAAGCCTAAAGGTAATTTCAATTTTGGTGGACTGTTTTTAAATTTAAAAAAAAGGGATGAAAAGATCCATCAGTAAACAGTCCACCAAAACTGACAACTTAAACCATATAGCGCAGCGTATTTAGTGTGCCCAAATAACGTACATAATAATTTTATGTACTGTTGTGCGATGCAAAGCATACAATCCCCCTCCATCCCAAATGGTCGAGCCGCATGTACAGTTGACCTGCTGAGGTCATGCAAAGATCCGCACACGCACAACGTACATAAACACACATGAAGAATGACCCACGTATTCGTCGGAGTCTGGTGAATAAAAACTGGGATTTTCCACCTCAAAATTTGTCCCATGATCCAAATGTCAATGGTTCTAAAACATTTTAGAGTTAACAAATAAATTCAGTAAAACTTTTTGGGTGGATTTGTGTTTCAGAAATTGGAATTCCAGACAACGGTATAACTAAACTATTTCGTCTATTAAAGTGCATTTCCAAAAGACATAGCGTACTGACCCGTAAAAATCAAAATGCTAGAACTTAATGCTAGAAGTAAGTTCAAAACATGAAGGAGTCCTAATGTAATGCACCTATCAAATGTTTGTAGGCCTACATGTTGTATTGTCCCCTCTAAATCTTTCAATATTTTCCCTGCTAACAAAACAGTGCTAATAAATTTGACTTTTTTAGGACATATTTTCACTTTCTGTCTTCTGATGGCTGATGATACTAGGGATAGGTCACAGAAGTGAAAAATTACTGATGGCCAGACAGGCCTATGTGGGAATCCTTCAAAAATGACAAATAAATAATGTCTGGCATGTCTGGCAATCATGGCAATGTCTGGTTCAGACTGGTTCATTTAAAACTCACCCTCCACACAGCCACAGTAAAAAGAAGACGGTGGAATCATGTTTTCATGGGTCTTTTCGACTTCAAAGAATGTCCAATGTCATACTTGAATCATCATGAACCCTGTATGCATCGGTAATTTAATACAATTTACATGGAATGCAACATTTTAGGTGATAACTGGTGCTTGCAGGATCAGGAATTGGACACCCGTGTCATTCGCCACACAGGATCTTTGCACTACTGACTCAAAGGGTGACCGTAAGGTAATGACAAAATTCTGCTAGATACCTTGCAAAATCTGCTAGATTTAACAAAAATCTGCTAAATCACCTATTATAACACGAAATACATAATTATTATAACACGAAATACATTATAAACACTTATACTAACTAAACAAAAATCTACGGAGCCAAAGGACTTTCAATATATATATTTTTTTATTTCGTATGCGCGAAATAATATCTCGTACGCACTACATAATCTTGTGCGCATGACATAATTATCTTGTGCGCACGAGATAATTATCTTGTGCGCACGAGCTATATGTCATGCGCACGAGATAATTGTGTCGTGCGCACAAGATACAAAGTACATGTATATGTCGTGTGCACAAGATTTAATTATGTCGGCGCACCAGTTTAAAAATATATATTGAATGTCCCTTTTTTTAGGGGATCCGTAAAAATCATAAAATTCCCTTTAAAAAGATTAAATTCATGTTTTTTTTCAAGTTCTAAATTTGCTCATGTCTAGCTTGGCTTGCAATGGTCTTAAGTTCCTTACTGTGTACTTAACGTCAGGGAACCTCAAATTGAAACTTTTTCAAAACTAATCAGCTATATTTTTCAAATCTGTCATATTTTTTTCAGTCAGATCACCAATTTTACAGAATTCAGCCTGCAATCTGCTGAAAAAAATCATTCTGCTAAATTTTCTGTCTAAAGCGGGGTTTCCCTCTAAAATTTCTGTCAAATTTAGCCGAAATTCAGCTAAAACGGTCTCTCCCCTAATGAGGCCATATAAATACCAACCATGTTACACGAGATTTTATTGGACAATATCTGAGGAATAGCGATATTATAGCCTATCAGCAGGCCTCTTCTTAATGTAGAATCTGGTGCTCGCCTCTTTGTTTATCAAAAAATATTGTACTGTACTACGAGATAGTATACGATTGCAGAATCGGGAACCAGTCCATAATTTTGATGCGAGTGTGATTTCCGTGGAAAGACGTTTGGCGGACGATTTTGACCGATCTTAAATCGAGAAACATCGTCATATTCCAAGATGAGTAAAGCACATCCTCCCGAGCTTAAAAAGTAAGATTATTTTGTGAAACATTCATGGTACTTTTGTACATTACGATGATACCGGTACACAATTTATTCATTTTTTATTAATTTTTCTGCTCGAGTCTAGCCCCATAAATGTGGCCTAATTCAGTAATTGCATGAATTGACTGACTCCGTAAATAAAGGCCACCCTTAGGGTAATCCTTACTTTTAGGACCCCTTTCCTATATAAGGTTAAAAGACTCACCAAAACAGCTGACTAAATGACACTCAAAACTAGTAAAAGTGACATTCTAATATTTATTGACACATGTATTTGAACATTTGGCAATGACACCTCTTGAATATCAGCAGGTTTGATTTTGTAGAAAGAGCCAGGGTTTTGATTTATGAGGGGTTAAAGACGACGATGACAAACAGAAAATAAATTTAAAAAGCAAGATGGCGAACTGCAAAAAAAGGTAGGAAAGTCGCATTTTCTTTGAAAGTGCGGTACAACTATAGAATGCAGGGCCACTCGACTCTACATCCGTGCCTCCGTATGAATGCGTGGAGGCGTGGAGCCGCAGTCGACCAATACTACCTACACAAAAACCCTATACCTGCCACTCCACTCCATCCGTGCCTCCGTGGAGCCTCAGTCGACCAATACTACATACAGTAGCACACAAAATCCCTGGAGGCGTGGAGCCGCAGTCGACCAATACCACATACAGTAGCACACAAAATCCCTGGAGGCGTGGAGCCGCAGTCGACCAATACCACATACAGTAGCACACAAAAGCCCTATGATTACATGTACATGTATTAGTAGGCCGTATAGGAGGCCGTATAGCGCTGCGTACGCGCGTGGCGGCCGTGCAGCTACGTGGAGGCGCAGTCGACCTACCGACTAGTCTGGTTCCCAGACCTCAAACTTATTCCCGACGCTCACGGCTAAAAATTAACATGACGACATTAATGGCTTCGTTTCTGATTTCGCTTATCATACAGTTATGATAATAGAATTTGATGTATTAACATCTTAAATCTTCAAAATTAGGGCTCCAAGTAGCACTGATAGATTAATTATCAAGTCATTTAAAATAATAAAATTTGAGACTCAAATAGCACTGTTAGATTAATTGTCAACTTATTTAAATTCAAATTAATAAGCAATTAGCAGTTAATTCTCATTTAAATTTAAATTAATAAGCAATTACCAGTTACTTATACCTGATTACATACTCGGAAATACTCGGGCGCTATCCGATTGTCCACGAAACGACTTCGGCAAACTTCGGAGATTTCCGGCAAAAGGAAGAATTCCTCCCGTGTTAGTCACGTAAACGACTTCGGCAAACTTCGGAGATTTCCGGCAAAAGGAAGAATTCCTCCCGTGTTAGTCACGTGACGTTCCTCCCGTGTTAGTCACGTCACGTAAATTTTGCACATTGTATACAATGTCACGTGACGTACATTGTGCACATTGTATTACCCAAGGCTACCCAACTTCGTCCCCAGGATGTCAAGCAGTACGCACCTACCACTACCTGCTCTATGCTTCGTTCTCAAAAAGATGGAAGTTATTGTTGCTGCACAAGCTATCATAAAAATTCAAAAAACCTACCGACAAGAATGGCCCCCTCTACCGGCGGTTTTCCATTTTCTTTTTCAAAATTTCCTGTCAATAAAATACTCCTTCTACCGGTATTGCCTCTTCATGAGAAATTCATGCGCCCTCTACTGGTTAAATATTTCTTTACGTAATTGGCTTTTACAAAAGAAATTCAAACACCCTTACTGCTTAAATATTTTTTATTTTAATCTTTCTTTTGAAATTAATTGAATGTTTTTAGATGCGCTCTCTACCGGTATACCCCAGTATACCCTTATGACCCCTTCAATCTCTCGTGTGAATGTTTTTGGATGGATATGGATGCTTCGTTCTCAAAAACATGGAAGTTATTGTTGCTGCAAGCAATTAAAATATTAAATACAATTATGCTGCAAGGGATAACGATTACATACAATTATGCTGCAAGGGATAATGATTTTCGTTTACATTCTTATTTCCAGTAAAATTGCGCCCTCTTATGATGTTCCCGTATGATCCCTTCAATCTCTCATGAGAATGACTTTTGATGCATATGGATGCTTCGTTCTCAAAAAAATGGAAATTATTGTTGCTGCATCAAGCTCTTGTCTTTTCTGTGGAACTTTGGGTTAGTCATAATTATTAATAGTAATGGGTATAATTTATGCAATGTAACGGCACATAGCGCAAATCTCTTTTTGGAAGATGGGGTGGCCCTGAAAAGGGCCGGTTGGGTTGAGTCATGGTTATTAATAGTAACGGGTATAATTTATGCAATATAACGGCACATGGCTCAAATCTCTTTTTGGAAGATGGGGTGGCCCTGAAAAGGGCCGGTTGGGTTGAGAAGGTTTAGCCCTGAAAAGGGCTGTTTTGTTGTTCCGCCGGTAAACTACGTCGCTCTGGTGAGTTGGTTGCAGACTGGAACTCTGGCCGGCTCAGATGTTGCTGGTTGGAAGGAAGGTCGATGTCTACAGCTGCTGTGTCTGGTAGGAAGAAGGCTCTTTTGGATGATCTTGAATTGGGAGTTCTTGAAACGTCAGGCCGCTCAGATGCTTGCAGGGTGGAAGATAACTCGATGTCTTGAGCTTCTGTTTGGGTGGTGGCACAACTTGACCAGCATCTCATGGATGGTCTTGAACCTTGTTGGACCTTTCTGGTGGTAGCGTTTGAGTTGTCTTCCTTGATGGTGTGTGGCTTGATGCGCTTGATACAAAAAAAAATACAGTTTCAAATATATAAAGAAGTTGACTGAAAATGTTCGTTTCTTTGACGTTTTTTAGCTTTATCAGAAATACACACTTTCTAACTAGAGATCAATAAGTTTACCATCAACAAAGCGTAACGGAAATTGTTACAGAATGTTGTAAATGCAGTCATTGCAGAGCAAATGGGACAAAACCACAAAAAGGTTGGAAAGTAATCAAGTGCAAAAAATGAATGCAAGTGGATATTTTTTGGGTGTTATTAATGCGATTCTTTCAGTTGACAATGGATGCGATTTTTTTAGTGCACAATGGCTCACACAAAACACAATTAGTTGAAGCGTCTCACACTAAAGAGCTTCACGATTAACATTGTGTTAATGCGATATTGTAGAGGACAAGGGTCGAAACGAAAGCAATTAGTTGAAGCACATTTAAAGAGGGGAAACATGCAACTGGCTATTACATGTTGTTTCGAATGGGATATTGTTTGCCAAACATTTAAGAAATTTTATATGTAATTGAAGACTTTCACTTCAAAATGATTCTAATCAAAACAAAATGTCTTGCAAAACTCATCAAGTGGACCACAACAAAATTGTCAACAAATAACAACTATTGTCAACATGGCGGCATTTTCAATTGCATATCGCGATTTTCAGTTGGAAATGGCTGCCCCCTCCAAAAAAAAAAAAAAAACTTTCAAATAATAATCGATAGGCACAAAATTAACTGATAACTAGGTGTCAAGGAACATGTAAAGAAAATAATCACAACACACTATGTTCTTCATCGACTTTTTCTTAATAAAGGTTTGTTACATACTTCCCAATGAAAGTATTTACTTCCAGATGAAAGTCACTTTACAAAAGCAGACATTTTTTAACAATTCATCAATTGGCTTTGCAAGTGCACAAAGGATATGCACAAGCCGTTATTGGATAATCCGTCAAGTTCCAAATTCGATACTTGTATATGCTAATGCATGATTGTTTAATGGACATGGTTTGTTAAAAAAACCCAGCTACTTAGATTGTTTTTTATTTGAACACAAATTTCAACTTAACTTCACTTTGCTTAGACTTGTGTGGTGTCCATTGGGTTCCCCGGATCTTGAGTGCTTGAGGTCCTGTTGAGCGTGCCTTGTGGGTCTTCCGCAGAGCTTGAGAGCCAGGTATTGTTCATTTGATTTGAATTCCGTTTGTCGTTTCTGTTCTGATGTGACTATTGGGGAGAGTATATTTCTGAAATGTCATGTATGAACGAGGTGAACATGTCGTCGTCGCGATGTTTATATCTGTACAGGAACTCTGCTAGGTACGATGCGTAGTGATGTTTTCGTCGCCCGTGGCTTGGAAGACTTGATTTCATTTGACGCCAGTGTCCTTCGATTTTGTTGGTGTGGAAACCGTCGCTGTTCACAAACTCTTGCGAGTGATTCACCGATTCGTGAGTGTATCCAATGCTCTCTAGACAATCATAGGATTTCCAACAATCTGAAATGATTGTTGTGCCAGGTAGAATCCATTTCTGAATGAGAGGAACCAGAGTGTCTTTGTCGCGTTTCTCTACACACTCAATGAAGCAGTTCCTAGAGTCCTCTTCAATCCCTCCGAAAACCCATTGTCCCTCTACACGGTGTCCTCGATGATACTTCCTTTTCCCGATTTTGGACTCATCTATTTGAACTCGCTTTCCTGGACCGCCAATTGGAGTGCTGTTTCTAGTCAGAATGGCATCGCAACATTCCCGACAGAACATGTCCCAATCAACAGCTGTATTGGCGCTCAGACGAAGTTGTTGTTTGATTTGGGATTGCGTCAATCCTAGAGTCCAAAAGTAGGTGAACTTTAAAGTCTCTTCGATGGACAAGTTGCTCTTAGAAAACCAAGATCTATTTCGAATGGACAATGTTACCTTATGCCGCTTTCCTTTAATTTGTCGACGGCATTCCCATTTGCAACCATCAAGGCGATCATCTGTGTCTACAATTTCCATGGGTGATCCGCAATGGCTGCAATCTCTAGAGGAAGCGATGATATTCTTAAGTTGACACCACTTCAAAGTCGTATCTTTGTTCCACAGAACAAGACGAAGTAAATCATCGTAAGTTACGAAAGTTTGATGTTCATCACGTCTTTGGTAGGTGCAAGGAAATGTTTCCATTTGTGTCGCCTCATCTCGATTCTCAACAGTGTGTCCACACTGTACGCCAATATGACATTTGCGGGTATACATTATGACAA